CCACAACTATCCACCTTTGTCACCACTGCTATCACCTTTGTCACCCACTGCTCTCAATGATGACCACACATCATAACACAGCAAGGACAACACGCAAGTGCCACGTCATACAACAAACGAGCACCCACATGATGAACTGAGCACCACCGCCATCTACATTCATCACCCACCACCCAACAACAACTACACTACCCCAACACAGCAAAACGAGTGCCCACGCAACAAAATGAGGACCAACACCCACACGCTGGGCTAACAACTACCCAGGCGACACCACGTCACATGGGAATTGGGCGCCGACATGATGGCACAGAGATGGGGACAGTGCACCCATACACAGGGCTGACCAGACAACACGAATGACGACCAGAAGTCATCGTTCATGGGGTGGAAAGGACTGCCAGGCATGGCAACCACCTTATAGGTAATTTCAAACTTCTTCCTCCATCTCACATTGCAAGCTAAAAGCTTTGCAGAACTCAACTAATGTTGTGGTATTACATCCTTGGAGTCTCTTGCAACAGGCATCCTCGTGTATGTATCCCCCTTCATCACCCATCCTACCCAGGGCCTAACCTCCCTCATTCTAGTCTCTCATGGGCTGACACAGCCATGTCCACAATGGCTCAAGCACATGCAAGCTCCCATCATGCCTTCCCATCCTCCACCTTCCCCTCGCTCCATGCAAGTCCCTCGCAGGGTTCACGCCTGCCTCCATCACAGGTGCCCTGGTCGCCGTCAGGTTCTGGAGCCTCATCACACCATTCCGGAATGGAGGGTGGGATGTGACCTGGGCACTCAAAGGTGGTGGCAGGCAGGCATGGTTGGCTCTATTGGATTGGTGGTGGGAGCACGATGAGAGCTTGGAGACAGGTGCTGGTGGTGACATGCTTATTGACTAGCATCATCTAGTTATCTTTTGTAGATGCTGTTCCTAATTTGAAATATATACCTATTCTGCATTTACCATAAGCTAGTTTCTATCTGTGCTATGTCATACAATACTGTCTATATCTGCCTATGTATAAGTACAGGACTTCCATAATATGGTACTGTGGGGAGCTATGTTGTAAGCAGCTAAAGCTATACAGTAGCATGTTAAAAGAATGGACCACGGTCCAATTTCTGCCATTTTGGCTCTCACAAATGGCAAACATGACATGCAAGTGAAAATACTTTATGATATAGTACATACAGATACTGATGTTTAGCAGAATGAGTTTTAAAGCAATTGGTGGACATGTGGATAAGAAATCACCTCAAAGATTTGTTGTGTCCTGTTGTCATATCAGCTCTGGAAGTGAAAGTGCATGAAATATAGTGGTAAAAACACAGAAGAGCCCTGGGATGTATCTAGAAGATTAATAATGAGTGTACAGTCCTTTTGCTACTTTAAGGGCTTAGACTTAAGCAGGAATCAAGTTATAAAGCTTCTGGATGTACAGATGGTCCAATTTCTCCCACTCCTCCTTCAAAGCCTCCCACAATTCATGCACATTATGAGGATGGGGAGTGCAAGCACACATTTGTCAATCTAAGGCATCCCAGGCATGCTCTATAATGTTTTGATCTGGTGATGATGGCACCCAGGGGAGAACTCGGATTTTGTGGTTGAGGAACCATTGGGTTGCCACCTTCAAGGTGTGTTTTGGGTCATTATCCTGCTGAAAAATGACCTTTTGGGGGTTGCAATTTTTGTCCTTCAGTAAGCTAATGAATGAAGTATGCAAGATATGACAGCACTGGGCTGCATCCATGTGGCCTTCAATGAGATGAAGCTGACCTGTTCCATTCCATGAGATACAACCCCACACCGTAACACTCCCACCCCCATGCTTCACTGTCTTCACCACATTCCTATCCAAAAACTGTTCCTCAACCCTCCTCCGGCAGTACTGCTTCCCATCTGAGCCAAAGAGATTGAACTTGGACTCATCTGAATACCAAACAAGCCTCCAATATCACATCGTCCTTTGGTAGTGAGACTGCACCCAAGTTTTCAGCTCAAAATATGCTTCCTTGATAGCCATGGTTTCTTTCTGCATATCCTCCCATTCAGACCCTTCCTAATAAACATTTTGCAGACTGTGGCAGGATTTAGGTGAGGGAAGAGTTCACACTGGACATCCATGGCATTGTGGCAGGCTCCTCTGGTGATTAATTGAGTAGTGCAATGCTCCACATGTGGGCTGATCATCCTCGGATGACCTGGAATGGATTTATGCAAGTAGAAGTTGGGGTTGGCACCTTGTTCCTCCAGTTTATGGTAGTTTCAGATGACCATTGGTTTTGCAAGGTGGAGGGTGATGGCAATATTGGAGATAGTTTGTGGGGGTGCATTTCACCATCAAAGAGGGGATGTATGAGAGGTGATTTGCAGTGACAGAACTGATGCATGTTGATTGTGTGGATGTGGAGCAGATTATGAACATGACACACTTGGTCACATTTAGTGTTTTAAAGTCCAGTCTAGTCCAGTTTTTTACCTCAAAATGAGGCAACTGGCAACTGCAACCAGTCCAGACTGATCCAGATATTAAGGGACTGCAACCGGACCCTTTTAGACCGGTCCTAATTGGTCCACAACACAAAGGAAACTGGTCCAGACTGGTTGTGACCGGTCTTTTGTTGAAAACTTTATTGTGCCAGATATCTTGAATGTTACCTCACGTACATTGCATGTGTGGATAGATAATTTAATTCTCTGTAAACTGATTGAAATTTGAAGCAATTCGGTTAAGATTTGACTGAGATATGGTGAAAACAGAGAGAACATACATACAGATTGCATATAAAAATGTTGTTGGCCATATCTCAACCAATTCTTGACCATTTTTGATGATTGAGGAACCGAAAATTAAGTAAAAATGTGTGCAAGTAAGGTCCAACATGTAATGGGATGAAAGACCAGTTGAAACCGGTCTAAACCGGTCTTTTTTGGTTTTTAATATTTACAAAAACATGGCAACTGGCAACTGGACTGGCCACAAATGTGGGCAACTGCAACTGGAAAAAGACCAGACTGTGGTTCAGTCCAGTTCAGTTCTATGTATATTTTCAGTCCTGTAGACTGGACCTGCAAACACTAGTCACATTTCATCACAAAGTGGTGCCTGTCACATTTGATGCTGCCAGAACCTACATAGACAATGTCCAAAATTCCGCAGATTCTGAGTATTGCTACTAGAGAGTCTGATCTACAATAAAATGTATGAAATGAGGACAACCATTGGCCTGTTGTCCAAATTTTAACAATTTTCCATTCTTTTGGAGGTCTTTACTCTCCCCCACTAATTCTGCCCAGAATCCCACTTCAGTCCCAGAATTCTGTGGGACTATTCACAGAATTTGGCATTTTGTGGGACTGTGCACGGAATATCCACAGAATGGTATTTTTGTTGTTATGACTTGTCAGTCCATATTGGGTCCCACCTGATTCTGTGAAAATTTTGCCAAATCTGTGGACCATCCGGCGGAATTCCATGGGATAGGTGAAAATTCCCTCACATGAGATCATAGACATGTGAGATATACATGTGATCTCACGTGGGAGTACAAACATGATGCCATTGTCACAATGTGTGACATGGCTTCCTTTCTCCCAACCACCACCACCAGCACACACAACGGCAAACGGCGATGACTGCCCACAATGACGGCAAACACCCACAACAACCACCTACAATGCCCACAACAACCACCCACCACCATAAACAGACGACGACAGACAGCGCATGACAACAACCAAACAACACGAGCCCACACCACCATCCCATCAGTCCCCACCAACGACAAGTGAGGCCCACCACGTCAACAGATGCCCATGCCAACACCAACGACGATGTGCACAACCACGTCAACGGACACACATGCCCATGCCAACAACAATGCACACGACCACGTTGACGGACCACTGCCACATCAACGGACGACAACAACAACACCACCAACAGATGACGATGCCAATGGATGATGTCGACGATGCCAACAAATGGCCACATCAACAACAATGAGCACATCCCACTCCACCACATACACACAGTGACAAGTGTTGTCCCTCCCCCTTTTCTTTCCCTCCCCCCTTCCTCCTTTCCTTTTCCCTTCCCCTGTCCCTCCCCATTTCCATGTACCCCTTTCCTTTCCCCTCCCTCTTCCTCTGTCTGTCCCTCCTCATTTCCCTGTCCCTACTCCCTTCCTTTACCCTGGCCCTACACCCTTCCCTCTTCCTTTACCCTGGCCCTACACCCTTCCCTCTTCCTTTACCCTGTCACCCTTCCCCCTTCCTCTTCCCTGGCCCTACACCCTTCCCCCTTCCTTTTCCCTGTCCCTACACCCTTCCCCCTTCCTTTTCCCTGTCCCTACACCCTTCCCCCTTCCTTTTCCCTGTCCCTACACCCTTCCCCCTTCCTTTTCCCTGTCCCTACACCCTTCCCCCTTCCTTTTCCCTGTCCCTACACCCTTCCCCCTTCCTTTTCCCTCCCCCTTCCCTGTTCATCCCTTCCTTCCTCCACCCCCATTTATTTCTGCCCTCCTCCTCCCCCCTTCCTTTACTTAGAATACAGTAAAATAATCTTTGTGTACCACATCAATATATTAGAATTTTAATCTATATAACTGTTCTAAGCAGAAAGTTGTGAGGTTATTATAGGACAAAATATAATAATAAATTGGCTGACTACATTAGACTTACAATAAATATGATAGGCATGAAGTCACATGACTTTCAGAATAAGTCACATGATGTCTAAATTGAGTTGGAATTCCTACTGGAATCAAATGGGAATAGAGTAGGAAAGCAGTCCTACCATATTCCCCCAGGACTGCAGCCAGAATGCCAGACTTTACCCAGACTACAGTGGGATTCCAGTGGGAATACATGGGGGGAGAGTTAAGTACAGTTCTTTTGATGTGTGGTCCATTCTTTTCACATGCTACTGTATATGTAATTATAGTGCTATATATATTGATGGTGATGCTATGGGGTGCTATATAAAGGGGGGGTTGCAAAAGTGCTACTGTAGCTATCAAAACTATATTGTGTGACATCACAACCACTTTTTTTCCTGATGGGCTCAGCTGACAGCAAGACAAATGTCCAACACAATTTAAAATTTGTCTATGCTGAGGTGTGGGGCCAATAACCTGTCGACAAGTGGAGGGCAAGAGGGAAACAAGACATGTAGACAGAATAAGACGATGAAGTAGCTATGTAAATATGACTTTCCAGAAAGTAAGGAAGTCTTGACTACAAAATTAAGTCCAACACTACTGAATACCCACCAAATTGATCTGAGTTCTGTTGCATATAGGATATAATCTGCATATTTGGATGTAAAGGATGGATATCTATGACTCGTATGAAAACAGGATATGTTTAGGTGGGTGTGTAACAGCCAGCCCAATCACGGCCAATTTTGCAATCTCCAAAGATGATGATGGCAGAAGGTTCACGGGAAATCACAAGAAGGGTGTATGGATAAGCCACCTCTGGCACCCACATGAGCCGATATTCACCAAGTACAGAACGAACCCAGAGTTTTTGGTCAATGGTCCAAGGAGGGTAAGCATGATCAATGTTGGACAATTGTGCAGATTCATTGTGTGAGGTGATACCAACAGGAGACATGATGGAATTGTGTGAATGTGTGTGAATATTTGGCACCCTGGCCTCAGCCCCAGTCAATGCATCCCACACCCGCACAGAACTGTCAGCTGAACCAGAGACGATGCGGGTGCCATCAGTGGAGAAGGCAACAGAGTTGACAGCTTTCATGTGACCATTGAGCACCTTCAGCTCAGCCCCAGTTGATGCATCCCACACCCGCACAGATTTGTCAGATGAGCCAGAGACAATGTGGGTGCCATCAGTGGAGAAGGCAACAGAGTTGACACCATATTTGTGGCCATTGAGCACCTTCAGCTCAGCCCCAGTTGATGCATCCCACACCTGCACAGATTTGTCAGATGAGCCAGAAACAATGCAGGTGCCATCAGTGGAGAAGGCAACAGACTTGACACGATGCATGTGGCCATTGAGCACCTTCAGCTCAGCCCCAGTTGACACATCCCACACCCGCACAGATTTGTCATATGAGCCAGAGACAATGCGGGTGCCATCAGTGGAGAAGGCAACAGAGCAGACAGCTTCCATGTGACCATTGAGCACCTTCAGCTCAGCCCCAGTTGATGCATCCCACACCTGCACAGATTTGTCAGATGAGCCAGAGACAATGTGGGTGCCATCAGTGGAGAAGGCAACAGAGTTGACACCATATCTTGTGGCCATTGAGCACCTTCAGCTCAGCCCCAGTTGATGCATCCCACACCCGCACAGATTTGTCATATGAGCCAGAGACAATGCGGGTGCCATCAGTGGAGAAGGCAACAGAGTTGACAGCTTTCATGTGGCCATTGAGCACCTTCAGCTCAGCCCCAGTTGACACATCCCACACCCGCACAGATTTGTCATATGAGCCAGAGATGATGCGGGTGCCATCAGTGGAGAAGGCAACAGAGTTGACAGCTTTCATGTGACCATTGAGCACCTTCAGCTCAGCCCCAGTTGATGCATCCCACACCCTCACAGATTTGTCAGATGAGCCAGAGACAATGTGGGTGCCATCAGTGGAGAAGGCAACAGAGTTGACACCATATTTGTGGCCATTGAGCACCTTCAGCTCAGCCCCAGTTGATGCATCCCACACCTGCACAGATTTGTCAGATGAGCCAGAGACAATGCAGGTGCCATCAGTGGAGAAGGCAACAGATTTGACTGCTTCCATGTGGCCATTGAGCACCTTCAGCTCAGCCCCAGTTGACACATCCCACACCCGCACAGATTTGTCATATGAGCCAGAGACGATGCGGGTGCCATCAGTGGAGAAGGCAACAGAGTTGACAGCTTTCATGTGGCCATTGAGCACCTTCAGCTCAGCCCCAGTTGATGCATCCCACACCCTCACAGATTTGTCAGATGAGCCAGAGACAATGTGGGTGCCATCAGTGGAGAAGGCAACAGAGTTGACACCATATTTGTGGCCATTGAGCACCTTCAGCTCAGCCCCAGTTGATGCATCCCACACCTGCACAGATTTGTCAGATGAGCCAGAGACAATGCAGGTGCCATCAGTGGAGAAGGCAACAGATTTGACTGCTTCCATGTGGCCATTGAGCACCTTCAGCTCAGCCCCAGTTGATACATCCCACACCCGCACAGATTTGTCATATGAGCCAGAGACGATGCGGGTGCCATCAGTGGAGAAGGCAACAGAGTTGACAGCTTTCATGTGACCATTGAGCACCTTCAGCTCAGCCCCAGTTGATGCATCCCACACCTGCACAGATTTGTCAGATGAGCCAGAGACAATGCAGGTGCCATCAGTGGAGAAGGCAACAGAGTTGACACCATTTTGTGGCCATTGAGCACCTTCAGCTCAGCCCCAGTTGATGCATCCCACACCTGCACAGATTTGTCAGATGAGCCAGAGACAATGCAGGTGCCATCAGTGGAGAAGGCAACAGAGTTGACATGCTTCCATGTGGCCATTGAGCACCTTCAGCTCAGCCCCAGTTGATGCATCCCACACCCGCACAGATTTGTCATACTGAGCCAGAGACGATGCGGGTGCCATCAGTGGAGAAGGCAACAGAGTTGACAGCTTTCATGTGGCCATTGAGCACTTTCAGCTCAGCCCCAGTTGATGCATCCCACACCCGCACAGATTTGTCTTTTGAGCCAGAGACAATGCGGGTGCTGTCAGTGGAGAAGGCCACAGAGAAAATGGGTGCAGCTGTTTGTATTCTTATAAGTGGTAAATCACTGGCCTTCCTATGAATGAAGGATGGGATGCCACAGAACTGTGATCTCCACTGTTGGGATATGGTGGATCCTGTTGACCAGGATGCCAATGCTGAGATATACAAGTGTGGTGTAGACAAAGCTGGTGGATTTGCAGTGAAGTAGGTTGCAAAATTAGCTGCTTCAGCAATGTCAGCAGCAAACTCAGCTTCCTTGTTCATATTCTGATTACCAGATTTAGAAGCAGTGTGTATCAAGTGACAATATTCTCACCTTCAGAACCCACTCACGTGTGTGCTGAAGCATTGTGGTACACTGACCACTGGATCCAAGTAGGTTCATAGCCTCAATCCAAAAGAGAATGCGAACACAGAGGAAGTCAGTGATATAGTCACTGAGATCCTCCCCTTCTTTTTGACCAGTTTGGGCCAAATGCTGAGCCCAGTGCCGACAGGCATACCTCAGGACCAGTTTGATATTGGTGTCAACCCGCTGCATCAGCTTTGGGTCCTCGGTGTCAAGTAAAAATGAGGATGTTATTTCACCAATATTGAAACGAAGGGACTCCTTCATACGGTCGAAGCAACATTTTGTCAGAAAAGCATGGTGTTGGGCCTGATCACATGTCATGGACATCCGACAGCCACCAAGCTTGAATGTTGAACGAGTGTGACTGAAGATGAAGTCTGGAAACGATGCATGGTACCAAAGGACCCGGCCATCTTTGGAGTAGAAAACGGCATGAAGTTTCTTCAAGACGGTCATTGCAGTGTCGACAGATTCAGAGAGGAGAGCAGCAGTAAGAGATGCTGGTGTGCGTTCAAATGTACAAAGGAAGGTATGGAGAATGCACAAACGAGAGTTGAAGAGGTTTTCGGGAAGGTTAGAAAAGGCGTCAAGCATGATTTGTTGGTAGAGGTTGTCAATGAGCAAGGGCTGCTGTGTATCAGATGGTGAAAGTGTTTGTTCATCATGCAGGCTGTTCAGTAGTTTGCTTTGCTCAGATTCCGATAATTCGCATGGTGTCAAATACCTCACGATGGTTGCGGCGGCAATAAAAAGACCGCCCGCCAGCTGTTCCATGGTCTTGAGCTCCGGCCTGTCTACAAAGTTTGGAAACTTGCTCTCTAAGTACCGGTTGATATCTAGTCCTACACGCTCAATCGGCACGTCTTGTAGGCGGCAGACTGCCTTGGACGAGAAGGTCTTGCACAGGTCCTCAACACGACGATCTGGTCGGCTTGTGATAAGAAACTTGAGGCCTCGCAGGCGACGCTGGTTGATTGTCTCGAGTAAGCTTTGCAGAAACAGAGACCCTCCATCGGCCTCGATCTCATCCAATGCGTCAACAACGATGAGGTAAGGTGGGAGCTCTACATGACGTCCGGATTCGGAATGCTGCCATGGGCCCACAAGGAGGTCCTTCATTTGCTTGGTTGGCTTGTTGACCGAGTCAAACCTATCTGCTTCATGCAAGGCGTCGGCGTACGATCTCGACTTCCGAGCAAGCTGGTATACAAGGGTAGGAATGATATGGATCTGTCGTCTTGTCTCCTCAAATTGGCGGGAGCAGAGAAAGTTTCCACCCAAGACGGTGTGCCGTCCACTGTCTTCAAGCTCATCGAAGTGTTCGGCAATGGTGTATGCGATCGTCGTCTTTCCAGCGCCAGCTTGGCCGGTCAGCCAGAAGACAGGCGGGCTGTCCGCCGAGATGTCGTCAGCCCATGCAATTATCTCCTTTAGAATCCCCTCGCGAGTGCCTGCGGTGCATGGTTCACGGGTCACTGTCGCCCCGGCCCCCAAGTCAGCGTCGTAGATCGCCTTACGAGCGAGAAGAGGGTCAAGTCTCGTGAGCTGTAGGATGATTTAGTGCTCGTCCTAGTTGAAGAATTTGATGTTTACCCTGAATTCGGCGAGTATATTATCCACCTTTCTCTCGGTGCTCCATGCGAGGTCAAGCTAGATGAGATGGATGAGCAACCTTGTAACCCGAGAGGACAATAGCATTGACCTGTAAAGTCTTCGTAGCCTCGTCCTCGTGGATATTGATCTGCAAGAGGTCACCACCATCAGCTTGCTGAATGAGTATCTTACCGTTCCACTCACAGTGTTAGCTGTGTAGAATGTGCCACCGCTAACGGCAATGTCATGAGCATTTGAAAAGACGTGTGCTTCGGTCATTTTGAGTGGATTCGCCCGATGGACTGACTCCCATAACGAGTTGTTTTCTCCTGCTTCGCGCCCGTTACCTTTAGGAAGAGTTCAATGATCAGCTTTGTTTATACATAGTCAACGGCTTTCTAACCTGTAATGGCTATGGGGCCCATGCCACCCAACGGGCGAGCATGTTGAGAAGGGTACAGTTCACCTTCTTCAAAGGATATTCACATTTGACTGATGGACGTATAACCATTCTTCTCACCTATCCCTGCGTGGTGTACAGGCGGAGACAAGACGCCGGATCCTGTAGGGCCTAAAATCTTGGGTGTGGCACTGTTGGAAGAGGTAACAAGATCTTGGAAGTGGATCAGACTTGCACGATTCACGAAGCTGAGATAATGTGGTACGCACCTTCACACAAGGCGGGATTACTGTCCAGCGGAGGGCGAAAGCCCGTAGATCCATCTGCAGTGCCCAAATCTTCGAATCAGCTGTGAAGAAGTTTGATCTGTGTTGGGCGTACCAGCTAGCAAACCAGCGGTATTCGTTCTGCTTGTATCGAGTGCAGCGTGGGTTCTCTGCCTATCCTCTGCAGTGTTTCCTGAGATGGCTGGTGTCGGCTTTGTACTTCCTGTGTCGTTTCCTTCCAGTCCAGGAGCATGAGCAGAGTCGATAGAACCCAAATTCATATCCGAGTCTTTCGACGGACAAGCCGAGTCCTTGGGTTTGGTGCCACGCCTCCGACGATTTCTAACTTTATTCTTCATTCACTCGATTGTTGCAGTGGAAGAGGGTTGAACGTTGGAAGAGGAGATGAGAGCGAGCGGCAAAAATGAGGTACGAAGCAAGGCAGCTGCACCGTATCCCTGTCAATGTCATTGTGGATCAGGTGATCTGTAATATGTGTCCCGTATCTCTTCCACCACCTCTGCTTCGCTGTCCTCCCCGTCCTCCCCGCCATGGCTGCCCAACTCTCAGCTCGAAACAAACAAATCTGTACGTGCAACCTGTATTCAACCGTCTTGATCACTAACGTTGACATTTATGATATGAACAGGCACACTGATTCGATGCTCAATTAAGTACCTCCACACGGCCGTATTCACAAAAACGTACGACTAGTTACGAGAGGAAGCCCCCGATTTGGTGTTTATCCCACCCCTCTGTCGCCTTACCACTTGATTACTGATCTTACCTTCCTCTGACAAGGTCGAATCTAAACCGGACCCCACCTCGCCCTCTAGCGGGTTATTGGTCAAGAAATGGACGAGCCTGATCAGGATGCAAAGAAAGGTGTGTTCCATCCTCGTTACTTTACCTCCTTCATGAAATGAACGACGCCCCAATTCGTAGATTCTGGGTGTGGACTAACGCCTCGCCCAAACCCGAAGAATTATCGCATGCCTCCACCTCCGATGGGTCGAAACGCGCAAATGAGGATGGTTGCCTAACGAACCCGCCAAATACATTCTCATCGGGCACAGGGACAAAATCAACGCTGTTACGTGGTTTTCACCCTCTGTACTCTGTTATAGCGTCGGCTTCTGTAGACGCAACGGTGAAGATCTGGGATTGGGATTCGGGGGAATTGGAGAGGACGTTGAAGAGCCATACGAAGGTGGTTTCGGATTGTCCGTTTGATTCGACGGGGAAAGCTTGGGGTGAGTGTTTTGTGTACTACTGCAAAGTGGTCATGTGGGGTTAAGGGATTGGATGTAGCGACGTGTTTGGACGATCTGTTTATAAAGCTGTGGAACGTCCCCGATGACTACAAGAATTTCGCTACCCTTAGAGGGCACAAACACTCCATCTCGAGCGTTTCCTTCTTACCAGGGGATAACCAGGTCGTTTCGTCCAGTCGGGATCAATACAGTCAGGATGTGGGATGTCCAAACAAGGTGTGTTATGCCTCACTCCCTCTTTCCCTAATTAACCTCCTCATCGAAGTCATTGTGTAAAAGCCATACGACCACACGAAGAATGGATCCGGTCTGCCATCCCGGTCGGCTTCTCTCAACATGCCCAGACGACCACGTACGCGTTGCGTTTCCAGGCCATAAACGCTTTTCAGTCCTTACCTCCCTTTGCTTCCTTTCAGACGGCACGAATTAAAGACCTAGAGTCATCCGCACTAAAGAAGGAAATGCGAGGTCACGACAACCGTATTGAATGCGCCGGATTCGTACCTCCAGTATCTATCCCGTCGGTACGGGAGCTGATATCTGTGGTGAGCCCCTTTCTTTCCCCCTCCATGCCTTGTGGAGTTGCTGAGTTCGCGAAAGTCGACTCCCTGGGGATCCCATTCGTCATAACGCGGTCTCGTGACAAGACGATCAGGCTCTGGGACGCGTTGGGGGGTCAAATTGTCAGTTCTCTTTCTACAGGGTCTTATCTCTTCTAACACCTCATTTTTTATGAACTGCAGGTCGGCCACGACGGCTGGGTTCAAGCAGTGGCCTGGCACCTATTTGGAAAATACCTTCTCTCAGTAACCGATGACCATACCCTGCGGATTTGGGATTTGAAGGCTGGCCAATGCTTGCGACAAGGTTTTTTTTCACCCCCACTTCCCCTTCTTTCTTAACTTAACGTGTTTCGGCTTTCCCCCTGATAGTCGAAGCACACAGCCCCTTCGTGCAATGCGTAGCATGGGGACCTGCACCCCTCACAAACGCGAAGAACGATGAGCCAGAGAGAACCGTTAATGTTTTGGCTACGGGTGGAGCGGCTAAGGTATTGTTGCTATGGCTCTATACCTCTGTCTGACGACGAACCTTAACGTTCTTGATTTCAGTTGGTTAAGATCTGGAAACCCTGATTTCCATCGTCCGTCTGCCTTTTGAGGATGTGGGTCTGCAAGTTCTGATAAATATTTGGTTTTCGACAACTTTTGACATAGTAGTACACGTTTATATACAATAGGCAGGTATCAGACGTATGGTACAAGATAGATGGTATCACTGAGTATCACTGGCGGCGTGCAATTGGCGACAAAGCAAGAAACTAACGAAAAGCATAGCGAAAAAGCCCAAAAGAAGCCCAACAACTTCCTCCATGAGTCCACTACGACTGCAGCTGCTGAAGCCAATAATTCAACTCCGCACGATCCTCATCCGTATTCTCGATCTCCCCCGATATTCATCCGTTCAACGCTAGGCCACAATGCACCACGCAGAGTGAAGCTCGATGGTGATGAAGAGATCGGATCTCGTTCGTGGATGTTTCCCCGTCCATCTCCCATGGTGTCCATAATCACAGAGGGAGGAGGGCCTTCTACAACGACCGGAGCTGGGGTTGGGTTGTGGTTGATGCTGAAGAGCGACAGGGTGGTGAGATTGAGCTTACTGAACCCCCCACTGGATTTCGGTAGCGTCATGTATCCAGATGTTCGAATGGAGTAGCGGAGAAGGAGGACGCGGAAGTCGAAGTTTGGATGGGTTGTAGCGCACTGCCAAGGTTTCCCGATTTCGACGAGGTACTGATGGAAGAGCTTTTGCTGGCCCAGAGCAGTCTTGAGTTACCCGGGGTCCGGAGGCTGCTTGGACGCCCAATACAAGGTACACCGTTCCAGCTGAAATATTGTCTGTGTGAGAGTGATGGGTGTGCATTGCAATGTGTAGCGGGAACGCCAAGTCGCGAGTAGCTCCATGGTGTTTTCTGCGGCGCGCTTGCAGAGCTGAGTAGAACAATGTCAGTGATTGGCTCAACGGGACACAACAATGGTGTGCATACCTTGACATGGCCCATCTCCTTGTCAGTGGGGTGGATGAGCTTACGAGGGTCAACGTTTCAGCTCAGGGAAATGACATAAATGGGGTGCAAGGAAATGCACGAAGTGGTTGGTGGAACTCCAGCCCTACTAAGTCGACATTGACTCCTCATCCTCCGCTGCGCCCGCAACATCTTTCTCCACACCCCAAAAGCGTCCCAAGGCCTGTTCAGCGTGCACGAATTCAACATGATCTTGGTCTTTCGGTCCTTCGAAGGTTCAACGTCCCGTCGGAGAGGGTTGTTGAGCCGAGCCTGGAATCAAACGTTGACTCTTCGCGCCCACGGCGTTGGTGCTCAGTGGAGGGAGAACGATAAGACGAGTATGTTGAATACAATGTGTTTGAGTTGTATGTCGTGGCCTGATGATGGCGATAATGACCTAGACATGGTCCGTCCTCCTCAATGCCCACCCTCCTCACTCACCACTCCACCCAAACGACCCAAGCTGCGCCGTAACGGGACTGGAAAATCTATCCAGCCACAAACAGCGGTAAAGGTGCAAAGCATATCTACCATCCGTACCCTGAAGACGGATGGGAAATCCGAAGGAGACGGTGGTGTGCATGAGCGTCGTGAAAGGGGTCTAGACTGTGGTGCGGTTGATCTGAGGGGAGGAACTGAAGGAGTTTTGCCAGGCGACTCGTCATTCCTCAGCTTGGATTGGGTCGAGGTGACTTCTGTTCACGAATGTACTACGTAGTCTGACCTGATTGGAACAAGAGGAGGTCAGGGCTGCGGTAAAAAAAAAGCAAGTGAAATGATGCTTGGATGTTACCTATCTTTAAATGGATATTCGGATCTCTCTGTTTCAGGGAGATAAAAGTAAGGTCCAAGAATTTCTTCGAAGCTCTGGTGGGATTAGAAAGAAACAGAATCTATCAACGGCTGGATGTGGCGTGAAAGAGAGGTGAGGGTAGTGTACGGACCTGTGGTGTACGGGGTTGGGCGGCACTGGCTTCGGATGGTGCTTGAGGATTAGGTGCAGATGGCAGTCAATCTTTACCCGCTTTTGAGAAAAATGAAGCCCGAACTTTTGAAGGGAACGAAACGATGGGTAACTGCAACAACGCCAACACTGGCATGCAGTATTTCACAACAGAAGTAGCTGTCATACTCACCTCTCGCCCGCCGCACAGCTCCGAATTCGATGTTCATGTGAAGCGCATCGTAGTCGTTCAAGCTGAAATAGTGGGAGGAAGGAGTTTGTGCATTTGGGCGGCGAATTGAGACTAGTGTCTTTGAAAGGCTCGACATTAGTGTGTCGGGCAGGATAATGACGGGTCCTTTGAGCTTGTAAGGAGCGAGAAAATTGCGGAAACACCTAAGTAGTGGAGTACCCAAGGAGTACAGTACCCCTAGATATGAGCCATACGGTAAAGTCACATGTTGATCACAACACGAACTTGAATCTAACTGACCGTTGACGCGTGACGCGTTGACGACCCACCATCTTGTAGATTTCTTATGGCCGAGATACTTCATGGTGAGCTTATTTCCTTCTGGCCTCACGTCAATCCTTTCAAAAGACGCGTTGTGGATCCTCGTAGCATGGGACTCTGAGCGCGTCTGGTTGGTGGCAACAAAATTTACCACTGATACTGACGACTTTTTATGCAGAACCTATCGCAGCCGATTCGAGTCCCTGGGTGAGTCTTCGACCACCTCCTCTATATGAATTTAATAACCTTCGTGATTTACATCCAGACGCTCTCGGGAGTCACGTTCTCCTCATGGACAACCCCTGCCAACCTTGCTCCCGATTTTGAAGTGCTCATGGATACCGCAGCCGCTGCTGAAGCGGATGAACCGCTTATTTTGCACGAAGACGTGGCTTCTCCTCTGCCCTCCCCTCTATCCTCTCCTCCGTCCTCCCCTTTGTCATCCTTACCTCCAACCCCAATTCCAACTCCGCCACGCAGCCTCTGTCAATGTCATTGTGTGCAGTGATCAACTCGGTCACATACGCCGAAGCATCAGGTGGTATCCGGGCCCAATTCCCTCTACACCTTCCACCTCTTCCAGACCTCGCTGTCCTCCACCCTCCCCGCCATGGCTGCTCAACTTTCAGCTCGCCAACAAACAGGTCCGTACGCGCAACCTATATCCATCCGTCATTGTCACTGACATTGAGTTCAGCTTGACATTAACAGGCACAAATCGATGCTCGATTACCTCCACACGGCCGGATTCACAGAAACGTACGACCAGTTATGAGAGAAAGCCCACTATTTGGTGTTTATACCCCCGCGTCGCCTTACCACTTGATCACCGATCTGACCTTCCTCCAACAAAGGTCGAGCCCTCTGGTGGGTTGTTGGTCAAGAAACGGACGAGCGTAATCACGATGCAGAAAAAGGTGTGTTCTAACCTCGTTACTTTACTTCCCTCATGAACCGAACGACGCCCCGATTCGTAGATTATGGATGTGGAATAACGCCTCGCCCAAGCCCTCGAAGAATTATCGCATGCCTCCACTACCGATGGCTTGAAACGCGCAAATGAGGAATGGTTGCCTAACGACTCTGCCAAATACATCTTCTCGGGCACAGGGGCAAAATCAACTCTGTTAGTTTTCACCCTCCGTACTCTGTTACAGCGTCGGCTTCTTAGGCGCGACGGTGATGATCTGGGACTGGGATTCGGGGGAATTGGAGAGGACGAAGACGGTTTCGGATTGTCAGTTTGATTCGACTGGGAAAGTTTGGGTGAGTGTTTTGTGTAGAACTACAGAGTGGTCATGTAGGCTAAGGCTTTGGATATAGCGACGTGTTCCGACGATCTGTTTATGAAGCTGTGGAACGTCCCCGATGACTACAAGAATTTCGCTACACTTAGAAGACACGACCTTTACATTTCGAGCGTTTCCTTCTTACCGGGGGACAATCAGGTCGTTTCGTCCAGTCGGGATCACACAGTCAGGATGTGGGATGTTCAAACAAGGTGTGTTATGCCCCACTCCCTCTTTTCCTTCTTAACCTCCTCATCGAAGTCATTGTATAAAAGTCATACGACCACATGAAGAATGGATCAGGTCTGCCATTCCCAGTCCTGACGGACGGCTTCTCTTAACATGCTCAGACGACCACGTACGCGTTTCGCTCCCAGTCCATAAACGTTCTTCATTCCTTACTTATTTTCCTTTCAGACGGCGCGAATCACAGACCTAGAGCCATCCGCACTAAAGGCAGAAATGCGAGGTCACGACAGAATGTGCCGTATTCGTACCTCCAGTATCTATTCCGTCTGTGCGGGAACTGGTAGCTGTGGTGAATCCTTTTCTTTCCCCCTCCATACCTTGTGGAGTTGCTGAGTCGAGCGTAAACGTGTCCAGCCTTCCACCGTCCTGGACTCCCTGGGGATCTCACTCGTCATAACGGGGTCTCGTGACGAGATGATCAGGCTCTGGGACGCGTTGAGGGGTCAATTTGTCAGTTCTCTTTCTACAGGGTCTTATCTCTTCTAACACCTCATTTTTGATGAACTCCAGGTCGGCCACGGCCGCTGCGTTCAAGCAGCAACCTTCCACCCAAGTGGGAAATACATCCTTTTAGTAGCGGTCGACCATATCCTGCAGATTTGGGATTTGAAGACAGGCCGATGCTTTCGAAAAGGTATTTCTCCACCCTCACTTCCCCTTCGTTCTTAACTCAACGCGTTTTTTCCCCTCCACCTCTCGATAGTCGAAGAACACGGCCCCTTCGTGCAATGCGTAGCATGGGGACCTGTGCCCCTGACGGACGCGAAGAACGACGAGCCAGAGGGGATCGTTGATGTTTTGGCTATGGGTGTAACAGATAAGGTACTGTTGTTATGGCTCTACCACCGTCTGACGACGAACCTTAATGTTCTTGATTCAGTTAGTTCAGATCTGGAAACCCTGAATTCCGTCGTCCGTAGATTTCGTCGTGAAAGGCAGTTCAAGAGTTGGGTAGCGGAAAGTGCACACCTTTTCCATGGGCAGTGGCTGTGGTGGGGGAAGCTTCCTTGGGTATCGAGAGAGCATACGGACGTCGAATTTTGGATCACAGAATATGTAGAGCTACAAGTCGACTTTCTTATGAGCGTGCATCCCAGCATCTGCAAGGAAAACGACTGACAAGGTGCTGGTATGACTAGAGCAGCAGAGGTATCCAGGGATGATGAAAACGAGTCGACAACAGTGGTCAAGGTCCAAGAAAGACCGTCAGACTGCGCTCGTGGGGCATCGCGGATGAGGCAGCGTGAGTGGGTGGAGAAGGAGAGATGGGTTGGCATGAATTGCGGTAGGATAGAATTAACGGGCGCCATCTGCTGAGCTTGAGGAATTGATATCCATCCTTGGGCACGTAGATGTCCGCGAGACCGTCAAAATCATCTTCTTACTTCTCCTTTCCCGACGCCGTCTTCGTTCGCGTTCCTCACGAATTGTGGAGATTGTCGAAGAGCTCGATTTCGATTTCGGCACCGAGCTCGGATATCAGGAGGGTGAGGAATCGGACGTCGTCTCGCAGTGCTTAGATCAGAGCTTCTCCAGTCCATTCGCATTGCGAATCCACCACAGCTCGAAGAGATCTGAGAGGGGGTAACAATGAACATCATCGGCTACGCGATGGTGCTCTCTATCCCATCCACGTCATTTCCAACCGAAAGCCATCCGAGTCCAAGGCCCGTCGACGTTCCAATCCCATGAAAAGACGGCTAACAAAGGGAACTAGCCGTCTGTCTGACAATCGCAAACCGCGGAAATTCTAGAGCGCGGTGGCCGTCTGCATGGGGATGCCGGAATGTACGAGAGGCCAAAATTGGGTGAGGTAAGGAGGCGTTTTTGAGCCAACGCTGGGAGGGGGATGGTGATGGAGGAAGAGCTGGAGGTTGAGGAGCGAATGAGCGTGGGGATGGGGTAGAGGTTAATTCTGGATGCTACTTCGCCTTCTTCTCGCGTGTTTTGCGTTAGAGAAAGAGAAAGCGCTCGACGAGGAGAGTAGGAGGCGGGTGTGAAGGGGATGGGGTTGGACGACTGTTAATGAGGTGTGTGGTGGATGTCGATGGCAGGCATTTTTTGTGAGTGGCAAGTGCTCGATTTTGATTAGGCTTCTTGCCCATCCATTCCTTTCATTTCGAATCGCACCTTTGAGATTCCCTTTTTGCCATTAAAGGGTCTGTGAAAGGGATAGATATCGTTGTCTGTCAGAAGTGGACTGCGATTTATGTTATAAGCTGTGAGATGAAAGTCAGATGCGTGTGCTCAATCATCAGTAAGATGGAAAAATACTATATCGTAGGATTCGTAGCTTTCCCCCGCGGGATTGCAGCTTCACTCCTCCAGCTTGGGGACGGCTCTTGGACACATTCACCTGTCAGTGGTCTTTGCGGTGGGCATTTTGGTGTGAGTTCCAACATTGACGATGTCGAACCCGCCCCTCTGGGATAGAAGGATGGGTTTACTATTTGCAGGGAATGTAGTCGACGACCAGTTCGTTTGGATGATGATCAAACCACTCTTACAATCTCTTTGAAAACTTTGGCAGTAAGGCCTTATATTTTATCACCACTGTAACTCGAATGACCACGCGAATTTTCCTGTGCCCTTTATTGCGAGCGAAGCGAGCAATCCTTCCCTATAGCGCAAAAGTCCCAAACAAACAAGAACAAATTCCGTATTCGCAAAGGTGGGCTCGACTAGAGAACTCAGCCATTCCAGCTGTATTTCGTACCGTAAGATCCCCAGAATTCACTATACATTTGCACCATCAGCTAAGGTCATGAAGATTCCAAAAAACCCACTAATTACGCCTTACAAAATGGTCTTCTGCAACACTGTGCTTGCCACAGATACTGTACGCGTGACGTTGTCGTGACAGTGACAGGACGCGTCACCGTTACCATTTGGTTACAGTGTTTTGCATGTGAGATTGAAATCTCATGAAAAGTTGTTTGTTCTTGTATTAGTTGTACTGTGTGAAGTTGCCTTAGAGTCAAGGTGACCTCGAAGTCACTTCGATTCGACGCCAACACTAGAGTAACATTCAATTATCGACGTAAATGCGGGTTCCAAGCAAGCTCCAAGGGAGGGAACTCCTCCACTTGAAGAAAATAAGGATCTAGTCGGAAGACTAGATCCTTTATCGGCTACCCGTGACCTTCACCAAGAGCGCTCTGGCAGAGGAAGTTCAACGTTCAACGCTGTGACACCGAGGCATCAGTCACAGACCACAAGAACAAACAAGTTTTCGTGAGATTTGAATTCTAATCTCACATGCAAAACACTGTAATAATCATCCCAAGATCATGATGTGCACAATGAACTCAGCTACGCATTTCCGTGTATCGTAATGTTTGTCTATGATATATCCTGTACATCCACAGAAAGCAGCTACTGTTGTCTAAAGTCAGCCTTGTCTGAAGTACTCTGCAAGTACTCTGATTGCTGCGCGAGCTTTACCCGCGGGACTCGCGGACATTTATGTAAAATTTCCGCTGAACGAAAAGACCTCCAGGGATGATCAAATCACCACTAAGCCGAGCATGTGCGAGTGGCTAATTTTCGAACTGGTACAACTACTATACATGCAGGCACCTGAAGATGACAGAATCACGGTGTGTCTTTTGTGAGGAGATTCAGAAGAGGCTAGATGAACAGAGTGTAAATAAACGCCTTTCCAGTATTTACTCTTTGAAAACATACGTCATTCTGGTCACATTGAAGGTTGTGTTTTGATAGTCCTGGTCGCCGTGTCCTCCGTCATCGATTGGTATCTAAGATCCCATTCCCATCACATTAACCTTTTGTCCCGTCATCTCAGAGTGAAAGGAGTGCATACCAAAGTCACCGCTGTCTTCAGGTCATCATCCAGGTACTAAAACGACGAAATCAATACCTAGCCACTGGCTCAATAGGGTAGAGAGAAACAGCACCTCCTTCATCTTGTCGGCTTTAATCGCACTGATATCCCAACTAGCACCGACCCCCGTCTTGTGATAAAAAGTGAGCTCGACAGTCATCTGCTCGTCAAAAGGTCCCCAAGTGATGGATGAAGTTGATGAATCGGAATCTAGGCACAAAGACTCCTTGTCTACTCCGTCAAAGAAGACTGTAGCCTTTGAGTCCTGTTTTGAGTTAATTAACTCTGCCTTGGCTTTTTGACTCCATGCGGCAGTAACAACCTGTTGTTAAGTTAATAGCAATATCAGCCAGTTTATATTCAGCATAAGAGAAGAAACAAACATACTCCAAAGAGAGTGACGACCGTCTGTGGGTTAACCTTAACTACCACCACCCAACCCGGCGCAACCCCACAAATATCCGTACCAACGAGTGGAGGAAGCTTGGTCTGCCCACGGAAGATCACAACAGGTTTAAAATGAGAAGGTAGTAATTTGCTGTCATTATAATCCGCCGCGCCGACTCCGAGACCGAGATTCGCGAACGTGCTCCATAAAATTTCTTCATTTGCACCATTATATCGATTCGCATCCGCTTGGATCCATGCTTGGCGCGCGAATGCGACTTTATAAAGAGGTAAAAGTGTGTTCTTTAGCTGTCTTTTGATTCCCAGATATTAAATTTGGCTCACAAGTGGGATTGACAGGCTGTAGCGCCAACGCGTCGATGAGGAGATGAAAGAATGTGATGTTACCCTCACTACCATCTGGGTTGGTCATTGCCGTGGCGGAAAATCCATACTTGTCAACCAGGGCTGCGTTGACATGGTGTAGGATGTTAGCCCACACGGCTCCGATTTCTGTCGGCATCTGTTAGTATTGTAGACGGCGCTCGAGGAAGAGGGGACAGCATACTGTGGACTTCAGTTAGCGTTTTAAGACTTGAGTACGTCGTGGAATTCGGATACCACCGGCCTGTGTTCCCCGTCACCCACACACCAGCAGAGAAGGCTTGTATAGGGGCGGAGGTCTGGAACGCCCAGCTTGATTAAATTAGTCGTTAAATTAAGTTGAGTCTGAACAGGATGGGAATGTACTCGGCCACGGCATCAGACCAGCCTTCGCCTAATCCCTTAGCCTCTAAAGACTGCAAGCAACTAGCAGTCCCACCGCCAGTCAGACGATTGGTTAATCCATGCGTAAACTCATGGATGATGATGCCGTTGGCAAACGCTGCATCGCGCTTGGGCTGATATTTGGATGGTGAACAGCTATGATTCCCAGACAGCAAAACACGTACAGTCGTCTTATCAAAGACACCTCTGAGAATACATGTTTATGATTGAAATAGGACATAGTTTATGTGAATCTACTTACAGCTGGCATTTCCCTGATTGACCGCTATTATTGAGAAGAGCTATTAGCTCAGTAATCTTACCACGCTTAATAACTTACTCAGCGGGGGTTGCGAAAGTCGCATTATTTTTGAGGCCATCGTGCTGCACAGAGAGCAATACCCTATCACCTTCCTGGCCACCTCGATTGAAGTTGTATTGCTGAAAATTGAAAGCGGCCTCCGTAAATCCGTATCTGTAAAAAAAATCGTGGACAGTATTTGCGATGTAGAAAGCATTGACACGTGCAGCGTCAATATTGTCTGCTGGGTCCTTTGTATCATCCATTGCATAATTAAAATTTAGGGTATCAGAACTCTGCGAGGTTGTGGAGCTTATATCACCCTTGTAAGAAACAACATTGTTACCCCTTCCATGAGACAAGTAATATTATCATTCAATATGCACACAAAAATATGATGGAGTTACTCACGCAGTAGTGGTCGTTCTGGTCGTGGACACAGAATGCCAGCCTGGCCAATCTATAATTGAAGGAGAGGCTACGTTGTCCTCAGGGTTTGTTAATACTTGAAATCCGTCTGGAGGCGCTGCTCCCCCCGGGGTCGGAAGGACCGTATACTGTTGACGAAATTCAGTTCGGCTGCAAGTAAACTGATTGCACGATCGACTTGCTGAGGCATAACAAACAAAGTCGGTTAACGACAAAAGCTGTCCAGAATGCGCGTCCACAAATGCCTCATAGAATGTTCCCAAATTCTCGTTCTCGATCTGAATGGCATGCACAAGCGCGAGGTGACTATTAGACGTCGCCAAGTATTGAGTCTTCGTGGGATGGCCGGTGTATGTACCGTTCAAAAGGCCCTCTGCAGCCAGAATAGCATCATGGATTTCGATTCTTGGTGATGTAGCTGCCGCAGATTCTGCAGTGGGTTTGATATAAGGTAGGTAAATACCGCAATACCTGGACATACTTTTCTCCACGAATGAGTGGCCAAATGAAACCACAAGGTCGCCCCTCCATGCTATGTTGGCGACCGCATTGGCAATCGAAACGCCGCTCTGGAAGATGAGCGATCAGGTAAGGTATCAACGGGTATGCCATGAAAACCCCCTCGAACAGAAAACTTACGTCGGTTTGATGGACATAAGCATACGTCATTTTACCGGTTCTGTACCCGCTTGTATAGGCAACACCCATGGGAGGAGAAATTCCTAGGTAATTCTCCACAAAGGAAATCGCCGATTGCTTAATACTATCAGAGGAGAGGGCGTCTCCGGGACTGTCAATCCCATCTCCAAAAGTCTGAAAAGAAATATCAGTAAATTAAAGACGTTAGATCAATCATATTAAGACCTCGTAGATTGTGGTGGGATCGGTATATTCAACCTTTTCTCCAGAGGAAAGGATTATCCTCCGACTAGTTGAGGGAATAAAGGTGGCCATCACAATACTCTGGCGTCTGTGAAAGGTTCGATGTACTAAGGATGATAACCTGGATCTAGTATTTGAAGAAAACAGTGAAGCAGGTTCGGGATCTATTTAATGACCAAAAGCCAGATGGGTTCAGAAAGGATTTTAGAGCGCTATCGTGACAACTTGACTAACCCTGAGACGTATCCAAAAGGATAGAGATGGTTGAGACCAAACTTGGCTAAGGCATGCACTGCCATGCTGGATCTAAAAATGGAGAGAAGTATTTGAGGTGTCGTCCATGGTCAGAACTTGGTTTTGGGGTGACTCCTTGCGTCAGACGACCAAGTAGATAACATGCCTCGAGTTGGCTTGAAAGAGAAAGAAGCTTGGATCGATATCGATGGATATTTGTGTGGCCGGGCCTTTTGAACACGGCTTATGAATCTATACAAACCTTTGAATGTGTTGCCCAAAAAGTTCAGCATGTGAATCCTGTTCTTGAGCTTGAAAGTTGAGGGCCTTTGCAGTGTTTGCATTGCCGCTCCATTCCAGTGGTCGATCCAAGCTCAAGTTTTAAAAAAAAATAAAGGCACAAAGGGGGATGATAAGTGGGCCGGAGGAGAGGTCAGTAGCGTTATAGCGGTCCCGAATCATACATAGCATTGGCTGTAGTACCTTTCTGATTAGAACGCCTGATACAATGACATCAAGATGACATACCTGAACGAAGGCAAAATAAAAGCGCCCATCTATTTTATTGGCCAAAGACCCCAGAACTTTATTCGGGGTGACTATTAGTCTATTACTTGCGTCAGACGACCAAGTAGATATCATGCCTCGAGGTAGATGATCGATGGCATTGCAAAGCGTTGGCAGGCGTTGGCCCCAAACAGAAAGAAACTTGGATCGATGGATATTTATGTCACCGGACCTATTTATGATTCTATACAAGCCTTTGGGAGAACGTTACCCCCACAGCTGAACGTGTGAATTTATCCTGTTCTTGAGTACCATTTCGAGACCGAGCAAAATTGGAATACCCAAGTTCAAGTAATGTGTTTTCAATGTTATCTCTGACAGCACAGACAGGTGACCGGCCACAATCCCAACCCTGGCTTTGGTGCCCTTCAGATCAGAACGCCTGATGCATTCATTATACCTGATCGAGACGAGAGAAATATCCAAGCTGCGCTAATTAGAGATGTGGGAGAGAGTCAGACGAACATGTCCTTCAGCTCGATTCCTGATTGCCTTACATGAATCAAGATTTCTGATTGGGCCCATCGGAAATAAACCTCAACATTCAGGACAACATTTGAATCAGAACGGAGGGATAATAAAATTTGAGCATCCAGGTACCATAAATGAGAACTTGATCACTCAACCTTATTCTCCCAGACGACTCTCAGATCACTACTAATGCCCTCTCACTCCAAGCCAGTGGTCACCGACAGCGGTAGCACCGTGTCCGTGGGCGTGAACTCACAGACTCTCATTACTATCTTCGGTGTAAATACGGATTTTTCGTGGAGTCTACAGTTGAGAAGCTCACTATCCGATGCGTTATCCCGTCAGGTTGCTACATCGGCACGTAAGCAGAAGGTTCAGGCTGCGCTCAAAGATGGAAATTCGAATGTGCAGAGCTCTTCCTCCTTCGATGGGGTGCAAAAGGAGTCCCTTTACCTTGAAAATGATTCTACGAAGAAGACAATAGTCTGGGGACCTTTCGATGAGCAAATGACCATCGAACTTTCCTTTTTCCATCAAGACTCGGACACAGACGATTGGGAGCCGAGCAGCGTCAAAAGTGACAAAATGAAGGAGGCAAGCAGTACTTTAATCCTGTTGAAGCACTTCAATGACGGGTCGCAGTAGCATTCTACCAATGATCTTCAGACAGCAATTTCACTGGTATGCCTTCCGTTGTCCTTTGGTAGAGGTTTTGACTGGTCGGTATAGATCCCGATTGATGACGGCGAAAATGAGGATGAGAATTATCAAAATACTATCCTCAATGTCACTCGTATGACGTGAGTTTCAGCATAAATATGTTCAAGGCACTTCACTCATCTAGCTTTGGTTCAGGCTCTTCTAGTAGGCTTTCAGACAACACAGTACTCATAATTTTGTAGAATCTCACTGATTATATACTATATGTACTTGTTTTTGAGGGCCATTGCTGCGCATGGCAATACGAGTCTTTTCTCTCTGTATTGCTTGCTCCTGCATTTCTTTCGCGTGATTTAATACTGTAGATTGCAAAATGATGAAAATCGAAACAAGCAAAGATGTAGGAGTGCCTTGGATCGCGTCAACATTCCCGCCTTCCGCACCGATACAGACCTTTGGGTTTTCCATACCGTTTCAGGACCCTCGTGCGCGCTTTTTCAGCTTCCAGGCTGGTATGCATTCCTCGAGGAACCCCCACCATCATACATAAGTAACCGTCGACTCTCCAACAGTAATATAAAAACTGCCCCCAATATCCGATTGACAGACGCAATGGGATGCGCAATGTGATACCCCTCCCCCTCCCCAAACCACCCGTAACCCTCACAAATATACCCTGCCCAGGAGAAACGCGCAACGTCGTCCCGGACACTTTGGCTGATATCTGGTCGATGCCGAAGAAGTGTAAGGACTTTTGGGGGGGATGTCGCGAAGTACGCGGAGACTGGGGGGTGGTGGGATACTTGTTCCGTAACGTACACCACCCTCGCCGTCTCAGCGGTGCCAATGCCGGTGCCAGAGGGGCCCTCACCAGTGCCCAAACTAAGCTTCGACAGCCTCTTCAGCGCCTAAGCCTTATCCGGTTCTGCTTTCAGCGAAGTCCCAGCTGTCGAAGGGCTCTTCGGAGCCTTGGTCAAAAAACTGCTCTGCCCACTCTTGGCGCTCTTTTAGCTCGAGCTGACTGCACTCTGCACACCAGCTGTCTCGGAGACGAAGGAGGGTCGGCTCTTGGGTATCGTTGAAGGGGGGTCGGAGTCGGGGTTGGGGAATTGTGCAGGTGATATGTCCCAGTGGGTGCGGAAATGTTTGCCTAGGACGGAGTTGAAGGGTTTGCAGGCTTTGCCGTGCTGTTGGTAGGGTTAGAAGGAGGGTTAGAGGAGGGGGAGGGGGGACGTACATCGAATTTGAGGTCTTTTGTTAGCATGAACCGCAGCACTGCAAGCATCCTTTCAAAGGGGTGTAGCAAGTGGTTGATCCTGTCACCCTCGATAAGCACATACACACATATGACACAAACAAAGGACTCAACACAACGAATATGTCGGGTCTATGAGGTATTGCCAATACTCGAGGTTAAGGATATGTTCCAGAAGTGAAGCAGGTAACGAAAGATGCCTACACTGTCATTAAGCAAGCAAAGAAAGTCATTGATTGGCAACACTAAAACCAAAAGAAAAGAAGGAAAAAAAGACGAAGAGTCTCCAATGGCCGGACATCACAGAATTAGCAAATGGGTGATGCAAGGAGTTGGCGAAAACCCAGCCGGTTCTGCATGCGTGAGCCAAGAGCGTGGCAGGTAGTTTTGAGCGGGGTTGCCGATGGAGGTGGTTGAGCGTGGAGGCTATGTAGAGACCCCCCAGTGGCGATGATGTATGGGGCATTGACGGTGGTTTGTTGGCGTTGATGGCAGAAACGATGCGAACTTCTGCCTTACAGACACCTCCAATCTGAAGGGGTTTGGGTCCATTGACCATACGGAGAGATGAACAAATTTGAGGAGGTCTGCGCCAATTGGTGCAGGATGATTGGCTTCATGGTGGCCTGGAAAAGCAAAATAAGAATGAGAAGCTTTGCAAAGAAATATTAATGCAATGTGCAACACACCTTCCAGCCAGTGATGATAGCGAAATCCAATATTGGGGCCTGAACGCTCTCGTTTCTGATGCACACATAGCCAAGCATGGGCGCCCCAAACCCGCATAAGGTTGGCGAGAAGTCCATGGTCAAAAATTTCCACAGCATGCTTACATCATTTGATCAAGTTCAATTCGCGTCTTATCTGTCGCGATGATCCTCAACAACTATCCAGATTTGATGTTAATCATGCTTTTCTGCTTTGTCTCAAGACATTTGACGATTCCGACACCCTGTTGCAGTGTCAGTAGAGGAGGCAAAGATTTAAATAGAGAGGTTGATTGACCTTTAACATGTCTTCACAAACTCGGACGACTTCACCATCACGACGATCCCACGGATGCTCAACATAGAGGGATGTTTTGGACAGCTGGTGGAAGGAGCCCTATCTGGACAAGGGGGGAAAGACTCTGGAAGAAGATGGTAAGAACCCTAAGAGGAAGTACAAGGATACTTCCTGAGCTTACGTCGACAATGAGGAAAAACGATCCTTCCAGCTGATTTGCCTGAAGGCTAAATAAGAAGCCTGTTGTACTGGCGGACGCCATCGATAGGAAAACCTGTCTTCTTGAGTTCCTCCCAATGCTTGACAGAACTTTGCTGAGCAGACCCTCATCTTTCATAGAAATCGGAACTTCTTGGAGCACTGCATGGGACAAAGGTCAGCTCGTTTGCGAAATCGCTTCAGAGTGTTAAAAGACTCCGTTGGCAACGCACCATGATTTGCAAATCGATGTTGAAGATACTCGCGAATTGCTCGCGAAGGTCATCAAGGTGATGGTTGGACGAGTAGTCTTTCGTTTCCCCGACGGTGTGTTGTGCCTGGAAACGAATAAATAAGAAATGAGCCAAAGATCGAGCACAAAAGTAAGTTTCGCGACCTCTTGTAGCAAAGCCACTCCTTGAGGGTCCGCAAATAGCATGTTGTAACCCTGTCGTCCTCGTACAACGAGGAGGCCCAGTTGGCGAATGCCGGAATCGTAGTATCGGCCGCCCCATCCCACGACCCCCTGGGTTATCGGAGTAGAGTTTACGGTTGCAGCTTACCCAAATGGCAAGAATTTCATCAAGCAGCCTCATCCAAAGCCTAGATATCCGGGTGGGGTGTGACACTCGGAGCGTGATGAAAGATATACGCACATATGATCCTTCAGGATTGGGGGAGAAGCTTATTAGAAGGGACTGATCGAGGAGGGGATTCGAACGAAGCTATGGAGAGAGGTATACGGCTAGTATTGAGACTGATCAGAAAGCTTGTTGATAGTTGTAATGCCGAAATGTGAATACTTCACAGACGTGACGTGGCGGAGACAGTTACTTTGGAGAGCGGCGTCCAGTATTCATTGAAAGACCGTAAATACGTGAACTGGGAACAGAGACATTAGGCACCAGTCTGTCAATAGAGGTCCATACGCACTGGCAGGACCCTAAGTACAATCCCTCGAGAAATATATCGGTGTCTCCGTTGCTTTTGGAGCTCAGATGCTTACGGTCCTAGGCTGGCTTTATTTAGGACAAACGTGACTGAGTTCCTGGAGCGGTCCTCCACACTGTTCACGGAGTGGATCTAGAAAGTAAATGTGATCTTCCGCCATAAGAGAACGATGCTGTAAGGGGCCGACAACTCGCCTCAACTTCCAGACGAGAATGTTGCCCAAACCCTAGCATATATGGTGTTCAACTAAAATGGCGGAGATGACGGAGTCGACGCACCAAGATACAGAAACCAGCCCCCTCCGATACCCACGTTTCACCGCAAGGGACGTGAAAGTCGTGACATGTCACAATATCTTAGATATTTTTATTATTCACAATTGTAGTCAGATGAAGTTAAGTACAGCCGTTTGCATAATTCCGTGAACACGCGAAAATTCTTTTTCTGGGCGTGACGTGACTAGTCACCTGACTAAGCACAGCTTTCCCTTGCTCTTTTCAGAAGTTCAGACAGTCCTGTGCCTCGTTCTTTCGCGTCTCGACCGGCGGAAATGTATAAAAAATATCCCTCTTCAATTATGGAAGGCACACTGGTCCTTTTGTCAAAGGATTAGTTATATTTTGCCATGTTCTCAGCCTTTGTGCATGACTTTTCAAACAAGCCTGATAAAACAGTTAGCCAGGTCTTTATTTAACCCCTCTCCAATGCACTAAGCCACCATAAGTATGTAGCGACAGATCTTCAGGTAGCGAAGGTGTCATGAATGTAACTCTTCACTTCATTTTGAGCCGTTGGCACAGTTATCAGAACGCGGGAAAATGTCTTTTTTGGGCAGGTAAGTCACGTCACGCCCAAAAAAAGAATTTTCGGTGTTCACGGAATTATGCAAACGGCTGTATTGAAGAAGAAATTTTGAAATTTCTTCTTCATTTCCTCACTGATGTTATCCCTGAGTGATTTATCATTTTATTCCTGATTTATTCTCAATATCTTCCGAGAATAAATAGGCCAATGCCCCCAGTGCATGTACTTAATCATTCATTTGATTGGTCCTGCTCGTCCCGCAGGCCTAGAAGACCAACAATTTATCAGTCACCACAGTACAACCATTATATTAAAGACGAGTAACACATACCTGGGGTGGTGACAAACGAGTCCCAGGGGCGCGCCGGCCGAGGTACTGGTAGGAATGCAGATGTGCAACGCAGGTGAATCTTCCTTCCTCCCTTTAGGCCAGCAGGACGCTCGAGCTTGTACCAGACCAGCTGGGAAGTGCCCAATAAAGTAGTGGGCACTAATCAAGCCCAACTAGTCTCGAAAACAATAACGATAAATGATGATGATGACAGAACATCGGCCAGCTTGAAAGTCTGAGTTTTGAATAAATTATGGGTGGGTGATCGTAGTGTAACAAATGAAAAAAAAAGAGAAAAACATAAAGAAAGAAAGAGAGAGAGAGAGAGATAAAAAGAACGAATCGGATGCGACTGTAACAGTGAAAGTGTGGGTGTGTGATTCAAGGCCGGGTATGAATGAATGATGAGAAGAGAACTGTAAGACGGGCGGTAGTGGGCCGTCAGTCAAGCAAGCCGGGAGCCAAGTGTTGCTTTCGGGAAGTAAGATCACTAACGTCCCACATCCCCAATAAGCAGACGGACGACGGAAATCAGGGTTTCCAGATCTTAACCAACTGTATTCAAGAACATTGAGAGTCGTCGTCAGATAAAGGTAGAGGGATAACAACGGTACCTTATCCGTTCCACCCGTAGCCAAAACATTGACGATCCTCTCTGGCTCGTCGTTCTTCGCGTCTGTCAGGGGTGCAGGTCCCCATGCTACGCATTGTACGAAGGGGCTGTGTGCTTCGACTATCGAGAGGTAGAGGGAAAAGAAGAAACCCGTTGAGTTAAGAACAACGGGAAGTGGGGGCGAAGAAAAACCTTTTCGCAAGCATCGGCCAGTCTTCAAATCCCAAATCCGCAGGGTATGGTCGTCCGCTACTGAAAGGAGGTATTTTCCACATGGATGGAAGGTCACTGCTTGAACCCAACCATCGTGGCCGACCTGGAGTTCGAGGTGTTAGGAAAGATAAGAGGCATCCTGGAAGAAGAACTGACAAAAGTCCATAAACATTGACCCCTCAACGCGTCCCAGAGCCTGATCGTCTTGTCACGAGACCCCGTTATGACGAAAGAGATCCCCAGGGAGTCGACTTTCGCGGACTGAACGGTGGAAGGCTAGATATGTTTATGCTCGACTTAGCAGCAACTCTACAGGAAGAAAGGAAGGGATTTACCACAGCTACCAGTTCCCGCACAGATGGAATAGATACTGGAGGTACGAATACGGCACATTCAATACGATTGTCGTGACCTCGCATTTCCGCCTTTAGTGCGGATGACTCTAGGTCTGTGATTCGCGCCGTCTAGAAGGAAGGAATGAAGAACGTTTATGGACTGGGAACAAAACGCGTACGTGGTCGTCTGAGCATGTTAAGAGAAGTCGACCGTCCGGACTGGGAATGGCAGACCGGATCCATTCTTCGTGTGGTCTTATGACTTTTACACAATGACTTCGATGAGGAGGTTAATTAGGAAAAAAGGCAGTGGGGGATAACACACCTTGTTTGGACATCCCACATCCTGACTGTATGATCCCGACTTGACGAAACGACCTGATTGTCCCCTGGTAAGAAGGAAACACTTGAGATGGAATGTTCGTGCCCTCTAAGGGTAGCGAAATTCTTGTAGTCATCAGGAACGTTCCACAGCTTTATAAACAGATCGTCCGAACACGTCGCTATACCCAATCCCCCTTAGCCCACATGACCACTCTGCAGTTTTACACAAAAACACTCACCCAAAACTTTCCCCGTCGAATCAAACTGACAGTCCGAAACCGCCTTCGTATGGCTCTTCAATGTCCTCTCCAGTTCCCCCGAATCCCAGTCCCAGATCTTCACCGTCGCGTCTACAGAAGCAGACGCTATAACGGAGTACAGAGGGTGAAAACTAATAGAGTTGATTTTGTCCCTGTGCCCAATGAGAATGTATTTGGCGGGTTCGTTAGGCAGCCATTCCTTATTTGCGCGTTTCGAGCCATCAGAGGTGGAGGCGTGCGATAGTTCTTCGAGGGCTTGGGCGAGGCGTGATTCCAGATCCATAATCTACGAATCGAGGCGTCGTTCATTCACGAAGGAGGCAAAGTAACGAGGTCGGAACACACCTTTTTTTGCATCCTAATCACGCTCGTCCATTTCTTGACCAACAACCCGCTAGAAGGCGAGGTGGGGTCGGGTTTAAACTCGAGCTTGTCGGAGGAAGGGTCAGATCAGCGATCAAGTGGTAAGGCGACAGAGGGGGGGTATAAACACCAAATCGGGGGCTTCCTCTCGTAACTGGTCGTAAGTTTTTGTGAATCCGGCGGTGTGGAAGTAATCGAGCATCGATTTGTGCCTGTTCATATGATGAACGTCAACGTTAGTAACAAAGCCGCTTGGATATAGGTTGCGCGTACAGATCTGTTTGTTGGCGAGCTGAGAGTTGTGCAGCCATGGCGGGGAGGAAGGGGAGGACAGCGAGGACAGCGAGGCGGGGGAGGAAGAGGTGGAAGAGATATGTGTAGAGGGAATCGAATACAGGGACATAGTTCAACTTCAATTGGACACATGTATTTACAGATCACCTGATGCTTCTATTTTGCGACCACCACAACCGGGGCGTCGCGTCTCCTCGAATACTCGAATTGTAGGTTAGCCTATGCTAGTTATTGCAGGAAAAAATCAGTGCGTTGACGTGTTTTCAATTCGAAGTGCGAATGAGTACACTTATACGCAGACTCGGAGGATGTGCATATCATTATCACGACTAGATACCGACAGATTCGTTATGTAACTGCAAGGATTATCGTTATTCTCAGAGGCTGAGGTGCAAGTTGTGACGAATAATTGGTATTCAGCAACTGTTAACATGGTGTTACACATTTACATACAATGGGCGGGTATCGGACATATGGTACAACTTAAAAGGTATCACTAACAACCTGCAAAGTGAGTCCAAATTGACAAGAGTCCAAGAAACGATGGAAAAGCACAGCAAAAGCAAAAAGTGCAGAAGAAACCCAACAATGTCCTCCACGACCTCAGAGTTCCACTACGACTGCAGCTGCTGAAGCCAATAATTCAACTCGGCACGATCCTCATCCGTCATCGCATCATCCTCATAACGGTATTCTTGATCTCCCCCAATATTCATCGGTTCAACGCTAGGCCACAAAGCACCGCCCAGATCAAAGCTCGATGACGACGACGAAGAATCAGCTTGATTTGCTAGGAACCAAGGTACCTCTGTGAATGAGTAGATCGGGTCTCGGTGTTCGTGCATGTATCCCTGTCCATCTCCCATGTTGCCCATATTCAGAGCAGGAGGAGGGCCTTCTACAACGACCGGCGCTGGGGCTGGGTTGTGGTTGATATATCCTTGTTGGGGTATCTCCGGGCTGAAATTGCCAAAGACCGACGGGGAGGGTGGGGAGAAAGTGGTATTTGGACTTGAGCTTACGGAACCCCCCACTGAATTTCGGTAGCCCCATGCATCCAGATGTCCGAATGAAGTGGCGGAGGATGCAGAGGTCGAAGCTTGGATGGGGGGAGGGAAGAACGAAGAGGTCGAAGATGTAGGCGCTGATATTTGGATCGGAGGAGAGGAGAATGATGAGGTGGAAGATGAGGAAGTAGAAGTTTGAATCTGGGGAGCGGAGAACGAGTTACGTGGACGAATGGAGATGTTGGATGTAGCATCTAGAGGCGGGAGAACAGTGTCCAGCGCTTGTCCCCTTCCTTTTGACGATTTCCTTTGTTTACCCTTCCGTGGTTGAGGCACAGTCGTGCGTTTACGAGAACTAGCAGAAGACGACCTCCTAATAGCCGGTGGTATGATCCCCTCATCTTCCGCCAATCTAGGAACCAACTGCCTACGCTCCAGCACGGGCTCTAGCTGTTTTTGCATAAGGTTCTTCAGGATCCCCGCAATGTTCGTAGCACACTGCCATGATTTCCCAATCTCGACGAGGTACTGGTGGCAGAGCTTTTGCTGATCCAGAGCGGTCTTTAGCTCTTTGTGCGCTACTCGGGGTCCGGAGGTTGCTTGGACACCCCATAAGAGGTATACCGTTCCAGCTGAAAAGACGGTCTGTATGAGAGTGATTGGTGCATATCGCAATGTGTAGAGGGAACGCCAAGTCGCGAGTAGCTCCATGATGTTTTCCGCGGCGCGTTTGCAGAGCTGAGTAGAATGATGTCAGTGGTTAGCTCAATGGAGCACAAATACTGGTAAACATACCTTGACGTGGTCAATCTCCTTGTCAGTGGAGTGAATGAGCTTAGCTCTACGGTGGAAAAAGGGACGATGGAGAAGGATGAAAAGCCACCAGTAAGTTAAATGGAGCATCAAACGGTGAGGTGTGGCCGTTGGGCGGGAAGCGATACTGATGTCAACTTCTGGGGAAAGCGAGCTTTTCCAGGTGTTGAGTTTGATGCTGGAAAAGATAATCGTTGATGAAAGGCGTTTCTACCTTGGCATTCGGAAACTTACTCGATGTCAGTGATAAGTTCATCAAGAACCAACGGGCGGGAACGAGCCCGATTCAGATTATTGCTAGACGGACAAAAGCAATCATGTCAGAAACTTGAAACCATCATCGAACAGATTCTTACACAACGTCCATAATGCGACGTGCGATCATCAACAACTCGCATGTCGCCGCGAAAGTTTTTGAAAGATAATTAGCTTGTGGGGCGATGCCAGCTGGTGGATGACACCATGGCATCTGATCTAAATCCGTGTCCACAAACGGGACAGGGACAGGTGAAATCAATGGGGACATGACGCAGAAGTCACGTCCCACGTACAGGGACCAACACACATCCTAAGAGGATGTAAGAGGATCCATTAATGAGCGATGAAAGGTCGACTGACCTGCGAGAATGTGGTCCAGTGCGCCCAATTTCGGTCAAGCCTCTCAGTCTCGTCGATGAGGCCGAGTTTAACCCAGTCCGAGCAATCGACACCAAGACCAACTGTGGTGAAAAGATTTCAGAAAGGTTGAGAGGCAGACTTTGAAGGGAAAGTACGAACGGGCTTGACTCATCCGGGCACTCATACCTATAACACAACCTCTGTCAAAAATGGGTGTCTCCAAAGAGTGTGAAAGCGACTGACCAAAATAGAGAAACCCAACTGTCTGGTCTCCCTGCGAAGAATGAAAGCTAGCCAAGATGTCCAACGCGTGCACCACGCTCAACTGAGGTTTTTGACACTCCACCTCGATATAGCGCTTCGCAGCATCCGCAAAACACCGACGGGACTTGAAGTCCCGGATGTTTGGGTCATCGAGGAACGCCGTCCCCAATGCCACAAGAGCATTATGCAGCATGGGGGAGTAATGTGGTGTCTTGGGTGGGGTGTGGGAGCGAGGAACGATGAGTGCTCTGTACATGTCTCGAAGGAAGAGGGCTGGGACGATTCGGAAACACCAGGATGTGAAGAATTTGAAGAGGAGGTCGAGGGCTCTGGGAGTGTACCTTACATCAGCATTGCAGCATCTTAGTAGAAGAGACATGAAACGAACTTGTCATGGGACCTCCTGTCGAGGGGGACGTTGGAAGGGAGGTGTCTTGACCAGTCGAAGTTGGGGTTGTAGTGGCTGTCATCCACACCGTCTACCAGCAGTACGTAAGTCGCGTCAGGGTTCTCGGCGATGGCTGGGAAACGAGACGGTCCCTGAGCTGGGAGAGGAACTTGCATAAAACGCCAGACGGCGGTGTTGCCGTGCGCGAGAAGAAATCCTCCTTCTTCAAGCTGTATTGTGTGTCAAGCTATGCAATAACCTTTTGATGAAGAGAGAAACGTACGTTCAGGTTCCGGGTGGGTATGCACAATTCCTTGACTGTAGGATCGTTCTCCGGATCAGAATCAACACCAGTCTCTCCAATTTCTTCTGGGATATAGTTTGCCGCATCTTCAACAACCCACAGTGCGTTCAAGTCATCCTTGGGTCGAAGGCGAAGGTAAGAAGTGTCCATGTTTCCCCCATGCTCTCGACGGCATTTCCGGAGCAGCGACTCAAGATGGTTAGCGTACTGGTGTAGTGCCTCAATATTCTTTTGCATTGATTCGAAGAGGGCCTCGGTCCGAGGTCTGTGGACTATGGGGTCTCTTGACCAGGAGCACTGTTATTAGATAAATCAATGTTTAGCTGGGGAAGTGAGGGTTGCAGTGGCTTTTCGTACCTCTGCATCCCGGCCTGACTTTAGACAACTACCGCATACGGGTCTCTGATCGTCGCACTTTATCTTCCTACAATAAGGATCAGCTTTCTTGGAATGTACAGGTGAACCAGTCTTGAGCGTACTTTTGACGGCAGATGTTACATGCTTTCTCAGTGTAGGGACCCCGCGTCTTAGTGGAGCTGCCTTCGTCCTCGTCATCATAAAGGTTCACTTGAGGAGAACGTTTCGGTTTGGATGGAGGTTTCGGCATCATACGACAACGGAGGGCGCAATTGTTGACGCTAAAGCAACGATTGCTACAAAGATCTTTATAAGTTATCACTATCCTGTGCACGTTGCCGTATACCCACTTTCGAGAGGATGTACGTGCATAGCATCACCCGTGTCCTTTCCGAGATTCGTCCCTGGTCAACTTCTCGGAAAGTACACGGATGATAGAATTGATTGTGCACAGCGCGTCTAATCTCACATATACCCTGCAAGGGCAACCGTGTGTCGTAGCGCCAGAGCGATAGATGTTCTTGAAAATGGGAGAACGCAACTGCTGGTTCAAGTCTGGTTCAAGAGTGTCCTTTGAAATGGCACACCGGAAGAGTCGAGGACCCTTACAGTTGTTTGGACGAGATCCTCCAGGCAAATAAATACACTTGCTGCTCACCGTCACCAACGACGACGGCGACTCAGCAACAACCCAATTATCGGGGGGAATTCGGGCGTTTATTGTGTATCATTTATTTCGACGCGAAAGCGAGTTTTTAAGAAGCCAGGACCCCCAACATGTCGCTAGAACAGCTCTTCTCCACTTCCGAGCTCAACGTCCTCGTCCCCGACACAACGCTAGAATTCCCTTCAGAAACGACGGCGGATGAATGGCTTTCCAGAGCGAAATACAGCAAGATAGAGAGAAAGCAAGCTTTTTTTGGTCAGCAGTTTTTTTTTGCACCAACGTCTTATTTACCAAGTCCTTATACGCAGATGAACAGCTGCTATCGCTCCTTATGCTTCGTATCAAGCCACCAGCGCTGTCTGTACCCTCCGATCCAACGGATCCTCCAGAATTGTTGTTGGAGTTTCTTTCGCATTTACAAGTTTCGTTGGAAGCCACATATATATCCTCTGTACCACAACCTGGTCCGAACGACACGCCACGGACGCCAGCATCTCGACTCTCTGCACCACCTCGGACATCTAGTCTTGGTCCCCCCAAACCAACTCACCGCTATAGTGCACACCATCCATCCATTTTACCGCCAAGCACCCCACATCCTATGCCTTCAACCGTGGAACAAGATCGAAAGTATGTATCCTCCGAGGGGACTCTCTTGTTGGCCAACATATGGGGCGCGAATACAGCAGACGACTCTCCTGAGACGTTCTCCCTTCTTTGGTCTGAAGAGGAAGAGGTGTGGGTTGCCGTTTACCGGCTTTCGTTAACCGTTTGTAGGCATCTTCTTCTCTTTTGCGCATTTAGATCGTTCTAATACATATGACCCCAGCTTTCCTCCGTCTCAACTTCTCAAATCCATTGCTTTGCTTGACTGTATCTGCAACACTTCGAGATAAGAGGATTATCAATAACGAAAAGCACCCTCTCGCAAAGTATCTGGCTACCCTTGGCCTCAAGCCCCCAGAATCTCCTACCACGCCCACTGGAGAAGCACTACCAGAATCAGAGGAGAAATTGTTTGATGGGCTCGAAGAAGTGAACCTTTTAGCAGGTCTTGCAGCTGGTACCCATCTCACTCTCAAACCCTGAGAAACCTCCTAACGAGCCTTCACAGGGCCGACATTTGCACGAGCAGACCCACCTCTAAACCTCCCATCTATCCGCCTCGGTCAAGTCACGCGCCAAAAACTCTTCTCACTTCCCCCCATCCTAATGGACACCCCAGTACCCTCCCCTTCACCAATGACAGCCGTCCGCAAATCCCTCCCAACACTCCGAAAATCCTACCGCCGCACACTCCAAACAGTCTCCGGATTTCGAGTCCGCATGCGCACAGTCTTCGTCCCTTACGTTCTCCTCCCAGAAACGGAAGGAACCCTCGCAGAACTCGACGATACAGAAAAAGAGCGCGAGCGGAGAGAAGCAGGGAGTGCCGAGCGGACGGTGGTACTTTGCGTGGAGATTGAGAACTCTGGCGAGTCAGGTATTGGCGCTGGTTTCGTGGTTGAGAAGGTGGATGTGAAGATTGGCGGGGAAGGTGCGAAGGCGACGCTTATTGGCTGGGGAGATGGTGGCTTTAGTTCGGACGCGGCGAAGAAAACGTTCCCTCTGCGGATTGGACCTCTGGCACAGTATAACTTGCTCTATGCCGTTTCGTTCTTGCGATCTCCGGAGGAGATGGATGCGTTTTCGTTCGCAAGAGCAGCTGGTGTAGGTGGACCTCCTCAGTCTGATCTCCAACGTGCAGTCACCATCAATATTTTTGGAAAACCTTACATCCCACCTCGTCCATCCACGGAGACATCCCCCTTACTATACCCTACCAACACATTCTCCTCACGATGGAACTGCGTCCTCGACCTCGCAGCACACCAAGCCCAAGCCCTGGACGCCATGGACGTCTCAGACCCCGCAGGAGGGCACCCCAGCATCCTTCCTGAACCAGCATCCCCCTTTCCCATATTCGCAACCAACTCCGCCTCCTCCTCCCGCACGCATTACACTGGCTCCGGCACTCCAACATACACAGCTGGATCAACACCTCAAGCCTCTAGCAGGCGGTCCACCTTAACTCCCGGTGGCTACTACGCTGGAAGATCAATCAAAGGCCTAACACCAAACCGATCAGCCATGTTCCTCCACCCAGGATTCACCGTATCCCCTCTGAACTCTGGGAGATTCTCTACCTCCTCCGTACCCATCTCCGGTAGCGGCCACAGATTCCCGACCACTTACAGCGCCCCTCCACCGCCTCCACCACCACATACACCCGGGGTCCCACCTTCATCCGCAGGAACGGAAGCAGAAGAGCACCTAGGACCCCCATTCGACACCCAAACCACACCTCAAACACCAGCATACCCCGCCTTCCCGCCTAAATCCACCATACCCCCCTCCCCCATGTCCCTTGGCCCCATCGCCTCACAGACACAAGCCAACGTCGGTCCAAGCGTCGAGATCCGCAGGGAGAGGGGCGCAGCAGCGGGTGAGATACCGCGTACACCTGGCCCATACGTCCCCAGTGCATTTGGCGAACAGAGGATGTTGAATAAACTGCAGAGCGCTGCAGCGGGTGGGGAGAATATCGTTGTTTCTGTCGGTTTGCTACCGTTGGAAGTTGCAGGTGATGGGAATGGGAATGGAAAGAGGAGTAGCGTTGTTGGTTCTGTGTTGGGGCCGGGGAAGATATACCCTTTGGATGTGTTCACGTTGGATATTTTCGTGTTTAACCAGAGTGGGTGGCCGAGGAGGTTGGAGGTGACGTGTCCTGGGGAGAGAAGACGGGGGAAGGGGAGGAAGGAGGAAGAGAAGAGGAGGAGTGTGATGGGCGGTGGATTGGCGAGGAAGATGGGGTATCCTGGGGTTTTGGCTATGGATAGTCGGGTGCGGATTGGGTAAGTGGTTTTGGGAGATAATTCAGAGAAATCCTGATTTTTTATGGATGTTGCAGCCCACTTCGGCCCTCGTCATGCCAGAGTGTGAGGATGGACTTCTTGGCCGTGTCACCTGGTGTACACTCGATTGATACGCTAACCCTGACAGACGTAGAGACTGGGTTTTCAATGAACTTGAGGTGAGTCTTCGGCATTGAAGTTATATATCACGCTGCTAACGAATGGTTTGTCTCAAGGGCGGTGATGGACATTGTCGTGCATGACCCTGATGATTAGGATTTCTTGTTGTGGTTGCCCTATACCGGAAGCTCGACATTACAGATAATGATGCGCCGCCTCCATCGTACGAGGAACGAAGGACTTCCAGTCCGCACGGCGCTCCGTTGAAGTGGAAAGGGACCGATACGATCTCCACTTCCATGTAGCCCGCAACCTGATAAGCAACGGATTTCTTGCACATATCAGGAGTCATGGTGGATTATCCTCAAGAAATGGACTGGGTGGATAGAACATATAGTCAAATGTATCGCTGGGCTGATTGAATGATATGAACCACACCAAGAACTTCTGAAAATCATAAAATCAATTTGAAACCTTTTCTGGGAACATGCTTTCATGGTATACGAGCGGTATCAATCTTTTAATCATGAAGACATCCCTCTTATCTGGGCGCAACTCCTCGTCATTACCACCAACGACATTATTCGCCCATGCCAAGAATCAAGATGTCCTGGGACAAACGAAACTGACTAGGAGAGTTGGCCGAAACTTGAGAAGGTTCTGACTCGGAGTCGCTATACTTCAACCAGGAACAGACGGAGCGAACGAGGAATAGCTCGAGAATTTGAACTTAGTCTGATTCCCATCTTGAGAGACTTGACAAACGACAACTTTGTATCGGCCAAATCCTGAGCAGGAGAACAACGCTGAAACTCTAGCATGTCTTGCAAAGCATCGTGTAGATCCTTCATATCACAGCTTGGGGGGTCGGGGGATCACATAGCCTCGAATTTATCCGTTCGGTCGCGTATATATGCCGGTTTGTTGTCAGGAGGGTCCCAATACCGTAGACTTGTGATTTCATGTCCCATTTTGATGAGGTCCCTTTGGTAGCTATATTATGATTCCTTTGTGATCGAGATCAAGCGAGGGAGGTTGGGGAGGCGAGCAACGGGTATGGAGAGCAGTGAATTGACTGGGGGTATTGGTTTATGGAATCTGGTTCGATGCCGGGGCAGTCTTTGGGGGTATAAATGGTTCCTGTTCGTTTAAAGAAGTCCGCTGAAGGAGCGCAGTGGAGACGGCGTAAGGTCTCCCCGCACCCCTGGCCGATGAGAATGACTTTGGGATAGAAGGGGAAGGAAGTTACAGCCTGAGGCTACCAACACATCCAAACGTGACGAAGCGTCTGCTGGTAACGAAAGTCCACATCAGGGATTATGGGTTGGAGAGTGAACGAATATCATAGTTTCGACAACCCAAGAGTCCCAACGAGTGCGAAGTGCCGAAGAGGTTCCAGTTGCCAAGAATAGTCAACCCTCTGGAGAAACCAAGGAGAAACAGATCTTCTATGCTCGAGGATTCCTTCTCGAGAACCTCATCCAGTAATGCAGTAATTGTATCATGTGTAGAAGGGGTTTTTTCGATAGGCCTGTCGTATGTCACCTTCTTCGTGAGATGTAGGCTGAGCAGAATCACTGAGCGAACGTCGGCGAAAGCTCAGGAGAGCTCCCCAATAGCGTTGCGTATAAAACTCCGCCTAGGTATAAAATGATGTAAATTACTAGGGCGATTTTTGGGAAGTGTAAATAAGGTAAATTACGGTGTAAATTACAAATGTTTCACCAGGTCACATGTAGGATCCTACACCCAATCGTTTAGCTCGAAGACACCGCCATCTTCACCATCCACTTCGTCCTTTGCGACGGCTGCCCTCTCGGGGACCTTGGACTTCTTCACCTGTCGAACGGGGCCGTCTGCAAGGATCTCAGCGAGCTCATCCGAGCATAAATCAACCTCGTCGTCCTCATCAACAGGCAGCACGGCACTCGACGAAGGCAGGGCGGAACCTTTCGGTTTCAAATCAACGTCATCCTCATCCTCCGACTCATCGTAGTTCACCGCTCCTCCTGCCTCCTCTCGGCCCTCGTCGTTATCGATGGGACGAAGCATCCGCTCAATGTTGAAGAACTTGATAGTTGGGTTGGGGTGGGCGCTTTTCCGGAGCTATGGATGGCAGGAATGAGGGAGCTCAGTGTCAAAGAAAAGGTGCGCACCTTTGGTTTCTTTTGGACATAATAGAAGGCTCTGACCTGAGTCAGTGCCTTCACCACGCCGACCTTCTGGCGATTCCGCTGTGCCGTGTTGATCATGGTGACAGCGGACATCGTGCGTTCGTCAGCCATTGAGTGCGGAAGAGCCCCGAAGAGCTTTATGGCGATGGCCTATGAGGTGTGGATGAGCTATGTGCGGGCGCGAATACTTACTGACAGGGACACACCGCCAGGATCCCTCCATGCTCGGTCCCTTCGAACGCCATCCACCACTGAAGCGGAGTCTGGCCAGCTGTGAGTGGGGTAGTAAACGGATACGCCCCTTGCGCATAGGCAATGAACTGTGCCTGGTAAGCCTTCCCAAACGCTCTCGGCTTCTCCTTCCATTCGGCTAAAAAGGGATCGCAGCCGTGGCTCATCTCAGCGATGAGCAACGTATGGAGGTATCGGCCAACCTCCAAGAAGGTTTTTGGGTTGCGGATGCCAGGTGGCACCTTGGGCGGCACTTTGGCAGGGAGGGTGATGTTGAATGTGAGAGGGTTGGGGTTCTTTAGGATGGACGACCGCACGTAGTCTGTAGGGATACATCACAATGTAGTTTTACTTGAAATAGATGATTACATACTTGGGTTGAGATAGAAGGCAGAGAGATGGACATTTGAGGGCCCATAGACGAAGAACTCACGCCATCTGGACACCATTATCCCCCGAATCTGACCACAGACCTCATCTGGCAGGCATGCAGTCTCGAGCGTTTGTTTCATCTTCGCCACGACGGCAAGCCAGTAGAGGTAGACATCAGCGGGGTTGGTCGAGCTCGCTTCAAGACATTCAATGGCGCGTGCAATACCTTCGCCGACTGCAACGAACTGCGTGAGATGGATTTGAAATTGGAGGGTGGCTTGGGTGTTCACTGTTTTCGAGGAAGACATCATTGTACTTCTAGCGGGGGAGTCAGTTATCTCGTTTCAAACAGGGATAAGTGGAAAACGACTTACGGGGATCTCAATCCTTCCTGATGTGGCCAGTTGGCGAATGGCACTGAGGCATCTCAGGAGTGAGACTGCTGACCAGACGAGCGTGGCGAATCGGGTCTTCCCGATACTCTCAAGACCAGGCCCAAGTTTGAGTTCCTCGCGCGATGCCCTCAGTAATTCCTTGGCAGCATTGGAATGCTTGAAGTACTTGATAGTTCTGCGAATGGTCTTGATTGTCTGGTCACAGCATGTTAGAACACGTCAAATATCAACAATAATATTCTACCCTACCGAATTGAAGTATTCTATTGAAGCAATGTCTTTGCAAGTGTTGTTGAGGTGGTGCTCAGGGTCAGGGAGGTTCAGGACATGACGAAGAGTTGTGCAGAGGATCTCTCGGGCGACCCGAGTATTCCCTGTGTTATCTGACGAAACTGACCCAATGCGCTCCTTCCCAATCTCGGCTATTTTCTAAGCGAGCCCATGGTGAGAAGGATAATCATCAGAGTTATATAGAATGTGTAGCGACTCACTCGCAATACGAGCGCTGCAATCCATGCACCTGTGTGTGACTCGCGAGTGCCATCCTGACCTTCAAGGAGCATCACATCTCGAGCAACAGTTGTAGCGTGTACAGTGTAGAGGGACTCGCCACTCCTCAATGCCCCACCATCAAACGAGATGCTGATGTGCCGTTGAGTCTTTAGGTGTTCAATTTGAAGCTGACGGACACGTTCCTGCTCCGACATGATATGATCGTCCATAAGGCGGGTGCGTGATGCTGGGTTATAGCTTGGTAAACATACTCTAAGCATGTCTTTCCAAACATCGAGATCGGCGACGGCGGGAGGAATGCGGGCAATGCAGAAGAGCTTGACGATCGCAAGGTCCAGAGCACGATGAGTCTTCTGCCGACCCTGTGGGCCAAAGAAACCATCAGCCCGTGGTAGCAGCTGAGCATTCGAAGCCGTTATGGGAAGGGGGGAATAGGGTAAGGAGGTGAAGGACGATTCTGAGCTTGCAATAGACTGTAATGAAGATGTAGCTGTGAGTTTTCCAGTTCCCGCATTATCGGCAGCGACCAATGCCCCAGGAGATTTGCTCGCGCTTGCTGAAGACGCGAGGTGACGCTGCTCCTCCATCAACTTCAAGCATCGCTTTGCATGCGCAAATACACGTGAAGTTGTCCGTGGTGCCCACCGCTTTGGACAACCAGCGCCGGCACATCGATATTTGTGTGCAGTGCCCCGCGGGGTACGCACTTCAACAGTCAACGTGTCCAAAACACTATGACGGGGCCGGCCTACGATCCTAACCTCTTCATCTGTTTCAACATCATCTGCTTCTACCTCCACCTCGGTTACAGTTTCTTCGGCCTCAACATCTTCATGCTTCTAGTAAAATAGGGTTAGCGTGAATCATAATATGTAGGGAAATTTCTTACTCGTTTCTTGCCCTCACTGCTCTTCAAGTTGTCAGCCTTTTGGGCTTTCGGTATCTGGAAGATCGGAGCGATAATGGGTTTTGCCTTGACTTTGCGCTTCTTTGCCTGAGGCTTCTTGGGTGAGACGGAAAGTCGTTTCAGTGCCTTCGACAAATCAAGGACCTTCGCATTGGGGGGTGGAGTGACTAATGGCCGTTGCCGCATTGCAGGTGGGGGTGGGAACGTCAAAGGGAGGGCGCGGTCAGTCGGTAAATTCTAATGGGGTGGCCATTGAATGGAGGCAAAGAATAGATAGAAAACAAAAGACTCACGATTGCATTACACCGCTTGACGATTTTCCTCAATGTTGTCATTCGAGCCAGATCCCCGAAAACAGGAGAGGATGTGTTTTCGACCAACGGATATTGTTTGAGGAAGTGATGGGCCAAGCCATTGAAGCTGTATATGCCGCAGCTCCATGTATCAATGCTGAAGCTCTGCTCAGGGCATGGCAGAACTCCATTGTCAAGCTGGTCGAGTGGGAGCGATGCAACGTGCTTGGAAAGGAACCATCGTAATGCAGAAACAATCCAAGAATTGATGGGCAGCTGGGCAGGATCCCCATATAACAAATCTTGCAGGGAGACGTCAACGGCAATTGCAACCCAGTGGTTGTCATTTACGTGGAAGATGCCAGCCAGTTCGCTATTTTTGGATAGCCCTGCGCCAAAACGGTGCAAAAAGGTGGTTCCTTTTGGATTGTAGATTTTCTCACCTGTCAGATCTGCATCATAGACTTCAAGAATCTTTCTTGATAATACAGTATCTACAAAATGAATGTTACGACTGGGGAGAGTCAATTTGACCTCTGCCTCGAGGAGATAAATCATCAAATCAACCTCCTCATCTGATAGCCATCCACGGGAGAGAAAATTGAGAAGCGTCGACTTGGTGAACTGGGTTCGGTCTGTGGAAAGTGCTGGAAGGTTGCCTGACCAAGACACGGTGGCCAGGGACTCGCAGGTGGCACGGACTTGGTCCTGGAATAGATTCAGGTCATCCCTCTGGAGCCAGTGAAGCGCTCGCTCCCATGAAACACGGGCTGGGTAAACTATGAGGTGGAGGTCGCTCCAGAAGTGGAGACACCAAAGGGGCAAGTTTTGGGAAACGCCAGGAAGGGTGAGAGAATCTGCGCCATCAAGCCAGCACTGCTTCGTTTGGTCAAGAAGTTTGGCAACAAGGCCTTTGGGTGGGACAATAACCTGTTTAAGAATTTCAATGTCATTGATCGGCTGCAATGGGCTAAAAAAAGAAAATGCTGAGGGGATAGTGGAATAGGCGTCCTGGCCAGAGGAAATTGGTGGCAGCTCCATGTTGACCAAATCAAGGACAGACATCCGGGGACTAGGGAGAAGGATTTCCGCATGAATTGTGGGTATTTTCAATTGCTCACGGACGTGGCCTTTGACATGCACAGGAAGGTCATTGAACTGGTGATCCTGTCGTCACCATGAGGAAGCGTCAGGGTTGTCCATTTACGTTTTCGGTACGAGCATCAAATTGTAGGTCTGTCCCAATGATGAGGTCTGTGAAAACAAGGTTTAAAAACTGTGCAGGACCCGCGAAATTCCGTACTTGCACCAGGAATTATTTACATATTTTACATGCCCTATATCTGGTTTGGTAAAAAATTAGTAAGTTACCGTAAATTACATATGTAAATTACATTTTGTAAAAATACCCCCACTTTTACACGCAACCCTACTCCCCAACCTCAACCCCGCCCCGGACACGTCACATGATGTAACACGTGTAAGAAATGGTCACATGTACCACTACCAAGTATATAGTAAGTGCAATTTGAAGTTGGAACTACATAAAACACAGCGTGTACACTGCACACAGCTCATACTGTTACCTAGTAAGGAAAAAAAAAGATGTCTACACCTTCCGAGAAGCAGTGTTCACAATTTAAATCCTTCCCCCTGGGTTAACTCAAACAAAACCTGTGAAAAGTGCCGCAATAGTCGGAAGCGGAAAGGAGGAGTAGAGTTCACATCTTCGTGTCTCGGCCGTGAGCATAGATTTTATATATATCCAAGCTAGCCAGCAAGCATCGCCGACTTTGTACTTGTGTGATATTTTGTTAAGCACATGCACAGTGCCGAGGTCAAACAAGATCAAATAAAACAAACACTGGAACTAAACTACGATCAATTATGCATAACCCTACATATCTTACCCTAACTCACTCCATTCATCTATACACAAGATTCATCATTACTATATCTGGTCAGGATATGCGGATATTTGACTTTTTCGTTGATGTAGCTTCAAGATCATATTGTTCAGCCTTAAAATTTTACAATACGCTAGCCAATTCAATTTAACATGCTGCCCAAAATTTTGAGAATTTTTGGAAGATGTGTTGTAGCCTCGGAGTGTTGCCGTCGTGAGGAGGCAAGTGAACAAGATATGCAAAGGCATGTCACAGTAATGTCACTGAGGGATTTTGCACAATGTGACAGTCTCCCAAGCAGGGCAATTGTCACGTATTTCTTTCTCAAAATCGATTTTGACGACTTCCACTTGTCCTGCCTTCCTGAAATTTTGAGGATGTGGCTAATATTGGTATTAGATAGTGTCTACAGAAAAAAATTGGGAGTAAGCCTCACACAGAATGCGTTCCTGGCAGCCAAAGCGTCATACACCTATCTAAAATCTCACCCTTTGGCTTCTCACACTTCGTACACTTCATGAATCCTGTCAAAATTTTGCAAGCAGTATTAAATACACTATTTCAACATGAGTGAATTTTCTTGAAAGAGCAGGAGTAAGGGAAGGACATGAAAAGTGAAATCCACATATCTTGATACCACGCATATCCTGACCATATATAGTACTGAGGCGTAGAAACTTTGTCAAAATGACATGTAAGTGTTACTTTGATGGTTAGATAAGATATCAACAAGTCATGTGATGCATCCAGGGAGGAGTTGAGGTTGGGGAGCTGCTCAGTAGTGATGTGCAAGGGTTTGCAAACCCTTAGGGGTACAAGGGTAAGGGTAAGGAGGGTAAGGGTAGAGGTTAGGATTTTCTGACCCTCAAAAAACCCCAACCCTTGACAAGGGTTGGGGGTTTTTGTGAGGGTAAGTCAAGGGTGGTCAACAGATTATGTAATAGCTGCATGAGTGGTGTTTGCCAGGAACGTTACATACATCAACAACAAACAAACACTTTTCTTTCTCAACAACCACTATCCACATCGACGACCTCCCACAACCGCGACCAACAACCCCACCTTCCGCAACCACCACCGTTCGACGTTCTGAACCACCATCGCACACGTCGACAATAACGACAACGTGGCAACGCCACGTCAGCAGCCCAACAGCTGACAGCGACCTGGCACGTCAACAGACGTGCCACGTCATCCAGACGGTGACAACGCAATCGTCGTCACTGCCCACATTAGTTCAGGTGCGCAATGTGATCCCTCCCCCACACCCTTTCCTTTCTTCACACAACAAACAGGTGCCACGTCAGTGACGTGACAACTGACAATGACCGAACCACACTTTAACCACCGCAACTAACCACCACCACCTTCCCCAACCGTGGTTCGACGCCCCGAACCACCACTACACATGCCAACAACAACAACAACGAGGTGATGCCACATCACCAGCCGAATGGATGACAGGTGACGGCGACGACCTGGCATGTCAACGACGACACCACACCATGACAACAACAATGCCACGACAATGACAGTGGACGGTCGAACGACTGACACAATGACATCTGATGACACAACAAGAAGAGGGGGGCGTCACCTTGACTTATGTACTGATTGATTAGACTACGTAGTGTACATTATACTTGACCCTAACGTCCACCCGTTGTGGGTTTGACCCCCCAAACCCTGTACAAACCCCTACCCCCACCCCTGAAATACCCTTACCCATGGAAAGGGTACGGGTTTGCATCGGGTAAGGGTAAAGGTAGGTGTGAAAACACCCGCGGGTTACCCGTGCTCATCACTACTGCTCAGGAGATGTCAAGCACGTGCACCATATGCAACACAAATGGGTGCATAAATAAGGACAGACAGCTTGCCTTTCCATACCACCTCCTCGCTTGGGGAAAACGTGAGATCAGTGAGCGAGATTCATCGAAAGCTGGTTATCATCAGTGATGCATGCTCCGGCAAGGTGATCCCCTGGAGCCTCCAGGCCACAGATGAGCACTGATGTGGTGAATCATGATCAGCTAGGATTTTATTCCACAGACAGCCTTGATAATCTTATTCACAACTGGAGTTGTATTTCAGGGAGTATAGTAAGAAGTAGTGGAAGTGGAAGTTAGAAATGGGAGTGGAAGTCGTCGCAGGAGTGGAACTCGTGTGAGTGGAAGTCACAATCTCAGACTTCCACTCCATCATTATCGGCGATATCCAAGTGCTCCCCAACGCTGTGCCTTGTCCCGCCCCATTCCCTAATTGAGAGAACTATGTATCTGGCCACAGGCCACTGGTGGGCCACAATTCAATGCTGTAGGGTATATAGCTCTTGTTATGACAATACTACTAGTTTTCTCTTCCACCCCCATTCACTACATGCCAATGGACAACCCTCTCCAAATTATGCAGCTCCTTGAATCAGTGGGAGCTGATCTCATTAATGAGTACATCAGCAAGGTGAGTCTATAAGATCAATGTGAACTACTGAAATGCTTAAATGGTATTCTACTAGATATTTCCAGCACCTGTCATCCAACTGTCGTTGCATCTGGGTGGCACAAAATTGAAAATGCCCCAGACTGGATTGATATGCACGCTTTCATGGGCTGGATGAGCCACCATCTTCAGTCACAGCCAAAACCTCAATCGACTCCCACATCTTCTCAACACATTAAATGCGAGCCAATCGCCCTGACTCCGATCATTAAATGCGAGCCAGATATAATCAGTCTTACCAATTCTGATGGCTCTGATGTTGTTGAGCTTGTTGGCGCGCCTTCCCGGGCTACCCTTGCTCCTCAGCGACATCGCAAAGCCTCCTCCATTGGAAAGAAAAGGCCTTGAAAATCATCTCCCACCAATTCCAAAGGCTCCAACTGTGAAGTTTTTGACAAGCCTTCTACTGTTGCACCACCACGGCATCATCGTAAAACAGCTCCATTGCAGAAGAAATGCAAGATTTGAAAAGGTTCTTCCTCCGAGGAGGAGAATGAATATATCAAAATTACACCACAACTCAAAGTGAAGAACCTCATTACAATCACGGAACTTCCAAAAATTTGGACTGTTCCGAGGCCCGAAGACGACATTGCATATCTCCTTGACCTCAGTGATGATACTCGTGTATGGGAAGATGAATCAGGCAAGGCTCTATCTATGGCAGCCATTCTCAAGAGTGAGGTGCTTTTCAGAACATTTATTTCAAGGGCTTTAAACTAATTTAGGACCAGGGTTCGTGGGGCGGTGGGAGCTGTGGGTCTATCAAACCGGCAAAGACACCAAAGGTCATCCTGCTTGATAACCAGCCCTGTCAATATGCAGAGCATTGTTGTCAGGGGGTCTACCACTGTAGTGAGATTGATCCTGGCCTTTTAGAATTCTGTGAGCACTATGAGCCTGATGAAGATGAGCACTGAGAACTTTTTAATGCAGAGCGAGATATAAATGTGGATGAAACATCTATTGTCAAGTTGCGAGCAGTTGCATGAGTTTTTTGTTTATCCACTTTTGAGGTTCTCAAATTATATATTGTTTCAGCTTTGTCAAAGAAGCTGAAGGGATTGCATGTCCCGCTGTTGATGAAGGTGGAACACCATGCACAGGAGTCACCATTTATTGTAAAATGAATAAAGTAAGTTCCTAGTCACATTTTAAATTTTAACGTTTAATGACAATGTATTTTAGGTCAACTGGGATGGGAAAAAATCATTTGTTGGCTGCTCGAGATACATGAATGGTGACAGAAAATCCCATTGCTTCGTATCCATCCCCAAAGAAGTGAATAAAGGTCATGTAAAGGAATTATTAATGTCTGGGGACAACTCATTGAAGACTCTCATCAACACAAAAGCATGCACTCATGTTATTTCTGCTCGTTTGGGTTTGAAGGGGGATGGGAAATGCAGTGAGCTTCTTTCTTCTTGTTTTCTCAGACCATTCCTGAATCACATGCTCACAGAGTATTCTCACGTCAAGGATGGAAAAGTTGTGCAAGGGCGTCTCATGCAGTGTAACTGTCCAACATTAATTCAGATATACTCACCAGTTGATTAATCTGATCATCGCACTATTGTTATTTTGTGGGGAGTGCACAACCATCCTATGCTTGTCGCAACCAAACTTTCATGTGATGGGAAGGATAAATATAAGGAGGCTGCCAGAAAGGCAGGACCAATTGGACTAACTGTTCTGAACCTTGATAAGGGTATGGATATGGTTCCTTGGATGTTTTAATACAAATGTTTAATGCATAAATCTTTCCAACATCTAGCCCCTTCAACAAGAAGAATTTTCAATGGTGACATTCCTGCATTAACAGACCCTGCACTAGCAATATCAAGACTACACCGTAAGCTGGTACGCAAGGTCAGGAATGAGAATAATCCTCATGGGAATGAATTAGAGGGTGAATTCTTTATTTTGATATCCACCTGACTTGTATCTCATTTTTGCGATTTTTAGGGGTTTTATACCTGCACAGAAAAAATCACAAGCTTCTTCCAGAGAAGAGATACATTCATGAAGTGCAATCACAGGATGGCGTTGACATGATTATCACCATGCTTCCCTCTCTCACAACTGATTCTACTCTACACAATATCACATATAAATGAGTGTATGGGAAGTGGAAAGAATGGGAAGTTATCGTCTGGGATAAGCAGCTAAACATGAGTACGTTCATTTTGTTTATGACAGGTCATACTAGGTCTTCACATTCGAGTTTTTGCCCTAGGAGTCACTGTGGCACATATTTATTGCACTCATGAGACTTGGGCTGCATTTCTGAAAATGTGGTCTGGACTATGGGATACCATTGAAAAAGTGACTGGAAAGTTTGTTCATTTCAGATTTATTGATGGGACTGGACTTCAGGCAATCCTTGTTGATGGTTGTAAGCCACAAGTGGATGCATGCAGGGATGATCTTCTCAACCAAATTTTGAAACATGAAAAAAGTCTCATTGTGAAGCAGGATCCTCAAATAATTGTCCAACACATTATTTGGACATGTTGGGTTCACCTTGTTCAGTACAGTTACCTGTCCATTGCTTGAGTCCTTGCTGATTAGATTTCATAACAGAAAATTTGAGGATCTTGCAAAATCCTGTCCCAAAGAAGTTATGGATCAGATTTGTGGGTTTCCCTTCCTTGAGACACATAAAGAAGTCAATGATTTCATCAAGTGGTGCAAAAATTCCAAGCACAAAAAAGTTTGAGGTATTTCTTCCCATCTTGATTCCTCACGAGACCAAACCTAATTTCTTATTTATTCAGATTGTATGGTGGACAAGAAACAAAGTCCTTGGTTTATCCCATTTGTTACAGCGCTTCCAGAAAGTAATGAGAATCATGTTTTTTCCCCACAGCTTACCCTATTTGGCTTGGGAAATGACAAGTGCCCCAACACCATTCGGATGCTCAGATAAGATAATTTCTGCAAAGAGAACATGCCAAATGGATTTATAATGCTCAAAAGACATATTTTTTGTGCTTTACACTGTGAGTTGGTGTGATAATGTCTGCCCAATGAATGGTCAGGATAGCAGGAAGCTTAGCTAAGCCATTCCTGGCAAAGCCTGCTCCCTCAGCTGGCATCTCGCCCTGCAGCACCTTCACCTTTGCACAACAATTCTATCAGACACAAAGGAAGGAAGGGCCTTTGGATGCATAATACAAATTTTTCTGTGCACAATAACATGATTTTCCCCATATCTCTGATGAAGCTTAGGAGAATTCCCAATCGGGAAAGCACGAGAAAAAAAAACATGATTCTCATTACTTTCTGGAAGCGCTGTAATTGGTTCATGAGTAAGATATCTGAGGAGGATTGGTATCTTATGCCAGCCAACACCAATCTCAATGAGAGTGCCCATCCCATACAAATAAACATACAGGAACAAATTTGAAGATATTGGAAGCTATTCAAAAGTATGGCAATCATACTCCAGAATAGTGAAACCATTTAACACATTTTTAGAGCCTATGAGCTTGACCTCGACATTGAGGCTAAGCAAGAGCAGATGGAGAAGGACTGCATTTTGTTAAACCATCATAACACCCAGCCTGAGCATGACCACAAAAATCGAAAGTGCAGAGATGCTTGCGCACGAAAGCTAGAAGCTAGAAATGATGCCATCAACGAACTCAATGAGATTACTAACCAAATAAATGAGGCAGCCGCATGGGCAAAAGAACTTCGCATGAGAAAGAAACAGCTCCACTTGACAAGTGGCGTAAAATGAATGAAAGCCAAACCAGGCATGAAGGTTGCTGTAGATTCAGCTGTTGCAACCCCTCAACCTCCTATTGGTGGCCCATCACAATTTGTGCAGGTACCAGAATTCTCAGATAGTGAAGACTTCAAAGGCAATCATCATGAGGGTTTCAATGACCTTGATGTTTTCCCCACTCACTCTTTGGTATTGCACTGCCCAACCAATCCCTTCACATTTGAATCAACCCCAATGTGATGCTTGTGGTCTCCTACTTACTTTGGGATGACCCAGAAGAATACCCCATCATCCCCATATTCTGGATATCACCTACCAGCTCCAAATAGCTCCCCTACATGAGCTTTTTCCACTCACATCAAAAACTTTACCCTTGATGTGTCTCTAGATCCATCATTTCTTATACCTCCTACATATGACTCACTCGCTTTGTAATTTTATTGATAATGTCATGGTGAGGCGAACTACAATACGGTTTATGTTATTTAATTGAAGCAGGTCCTAAAGCAACCTCAAGTCTCAATTATGTAATGTTCCCCAAAGGTGGGAAATTCAAGTTGGTGGGAAACACAAAACTGCACACAGAAACAAATGGAGGTGGGCATCAGGATAGGCAACGACGGGACAGTCCAAAAGGGGAAGAGAGCTCAAATGGGTTTCAGTGGATGTTGGAATGAAAGAGTGGATGTTATGAACAAATAGTGAATGTCAAGTGAGAGTGGATGTCATTTCCTGACATCCACTCTCACTGATCTGGTCATCCCTCTATTTCGGGTATGAATACTATTGATTTTATATCTTGTCATTTCCTGACATCCACTCTCACGACATCCACTCTCACTGTCGAGGACTGACCTCAAATGTGGGCAACTGCAACTGAAAAAAGACCAATCTGTTGTTCAGTCCAGTTCAGTTCTATGTATATTTTTAGTCCTGTAGACTGGACTTGTGAACACTAGTTTGTTTCATTTTTTGCATTCATGCTCATTACAATTGTTCACATTTGAAGGAACATCCAAATAAAGAAACCCTTTAGTTTCTAAAAAGAAATACTCAGAAAACAAAAACACAAATGAGATATGCTCCAATTATTTGTTGATGTAAGCCTGATACAGTTCAGCCTAATTAAAGTTGAGTTGGAGATATTTGGAAGCTCATCCCCAGTGAAAAGCCTGTATACAGAGGTCAGCTGGGATATGTTAAAACAGATTTAGCATCCAATGGTGCTGTATGCTCAAACTTGGACTGCAGAAAATCCATCCTTACAGTGGCAGCTAGTTACTTCACTGTTGTTATATTTTATGTACCCTAGATTGACCTAACTTATAGTTTGAAGATGTTGATATTGTCAAAATGGCTGATTGTGACTTCAAACTTATAATTTCTATGAGGCATGGAACCACAAGAGTAAAACTTACTCTTTCCTATAGAGCCGATCTTGGCCACAAATCTCATTACTATAAATCATAATTGAGCTGAAGATGTCAATATCATACAGAATCACTATCAACTTCAAAGGTAGCTAGCTAGTTCTTTTCATGGAACTTCAACCCATAGGGACTGTGGGGGCTAATCTATACCTAACCACCCAAATAGGAGCTTATTTGCTTACAGTGGCACTTTTAATGCTGAGTATGAGCACAATCAATATGATCTAGCACAAGACATCAATATTATCCTGACAGATGTCTGTTCTATATAGTCACCAGCTGTTACTTTCAGAGAAGCCCAGTACTTTACACTCCCACTGTTTGTCCAATGGAATCCTATGGACTTTCAACAGACCCTGCCATTTCCGATGGACTCAGCGGACAGTCCGTCGGAAGACTAGTGTTTAAAGGTTCAGTCCATAGGACCGCAAAAAACCGGTGGACTGAACTGAACTGGACCATGGTCCGGTCTTTTTTTCGGTTGCAGTTGCCCCAATTTGGGGTTGGTCCGGTTGCCGGTTGCCTCATTTCGAAAATCTTTTAAAACCGTTCAAAGACCGGTTTTGATCGGTTGCAACCGGTTAAACGGTCACGTGCGTTACATACCCTTGTAACCACGTTTATTACCTTTTATTGGATTTTTGTTTCATCCAAAACGGTTAAGAATTGAGAAAGATATAACCAAATCCATATTTTACCTGAGTCTCTGCAAGATGTAATTCGGTTTCAGTCATAGCTATGTCAAATCTTCATTAAATCTTTTACAAATTGGTAGAATGACGGATATTTACATGCTTTACTATTTTATATAAGCCGTTTATTTTTCAGAGTAATAATAGTCGAGATATAAATGGTTTATATTGATATAATAAATTATACGCAAAAAAACCGGTCTGGATCGGTCTGAACCGGCTCCATAGACCGCAAAAGACCGGTCCTAGGTGGTTCCGTTCGGTTCCCTCAATATCTGGGTCGGTCCTAGACCGGTTGCGGTCCACGGTTGCGCGTTTTGGGGGCAAAAAACCGGACTGAACTGAACTTGTGAACACTACGGAAGACCGTTGGATTCCATTGGACATGACTGGATTCTGCTGCTAGTCCAGGCAAAGTCCAATGAAAGTCTGCTCAAGCCATTTAGAAGCAAGAAATGGTTGGACTGGCTGGAATTCTGTGTCCGTCGGATGTCCGCTGGACTTCCGTTGGATTTCCAATGGACAGAGGCAGAAACCAGTCATAATTGCTAAGTTCTCAGTCTGCTGGACTTCCACTGGACTTCCAATGGACTTCTAAGCAAAAAAGGCACAACTTCCAACAGACTTTCAGTGTCCAGTCTGCAATTCTTATAAGTAAATCTAAACAAGTCAGGCCCTGGTCAGACCTTATGCTAAATTCCTTAAGACATTGAGGTTTCAAAAACAAAGTATATTTTATAACTACATAAATTTATTTTACTACATTCTATGTTACAGAGAAGGGGGAGGGAGTGGGGGGGGGTGGTGGTGATCAGAAAGGGAGGGGGGAGGGACAAAAAGTGAGGGGGAAGGGACAAAAAGTGAGGGGGGAGGAACAGAAAGGGAGGGGGGAGGGAATGGTAAGCAGCAAGGGAGGAGGAGGGAGTGGGGAGTGGTGAGCAGCAAGGGAGGAGGGAGTAAGGGAGGAGGAGGGAGTGGGGAGGGAATGGTGAGCAGCAAGGGAGCAGGAGGGAGTGGGGAGCAGCAAGGGAGGAGGAGGGAGCAAGGGAGAGGGGAGGGAGTGGTGAGCAGCAAGGGAGGGGAGTAAGGGTGGGGGGAGGGAGTGGTGAGTAATGGTGAGGGGAGGGAGTGGTGAGTAATGGAGGGGGGAGGGGATGGTGGGCATTGACTGATAGAGGGGGAGGGAATGGTGGTGCTGGGCCCTCATCCCCGTTCGCGCGTGGTCATTGGTGTGCATCGTTGATGTGTT